TGGCCATTGTGGCCAATTGGGGAGTGAACCAATGGATGGAAGACATCTGTGTGTGTGTGTGTGTGTGTGTGTGTGTGTAACTGCCTCTCCTTCTCTCTGTAACTCTGCCTTTCAAATAAATAAATATTTAAAAAAAAAAAAGATACAAATGAGCTGGCGCCGCGGCTCACTAGGCTAATCCTCCGCCTTGTGGCGCTGGCACAACAGGTTCTAGTCCTGGTCGGGGCGCCGGATTCTGTCCCGGTTGCCCCTCTTCCAGGCCAGCTCTCTGCTGTGGCCAGGGAGTGCAGTGGAGGATGGCCCAGGTGCTTGGGCCCTGCACCCCATGGGAGACCAGGAAAAGCACCTGGCTCCTGGCTCCTGCCATCGGATCAGCGCGGTGAGCGCCGGCCGCGGCGGCCATTGGAGGGTGAACCAACGGCAAAGGAAGACCTTTCTCTTTGTCTCTCTCACTGTCCACTCTGCCTGTCAAAAAATAAATAAATAAATAAAAATAAAAAAAAGATACAAATGAAAAGAGGGCCCAATTTAAGCACCTGATGGACTGTAAGAAAAAGATTACATTTCACTATGAGATTAAAACTCTTCCCTTCAAAAAAGCATGATTTTTTTTTTTTTTTTGGACAGGCAGAGTGGACAGTGAGAGACAGAGAGAAAGGTCTTCCTTTGCCGTTGGTTCACCCTCCAATGGCCGCCACGGCCGGCGCTCACCGCGCTGATCCGATGGCAGGAACCAGGTACTTATCCTGGTCTCCATGGGGTGCAGGGCCCAAGGACTTGGGCCATCCTCCACTGCACTCCCTGGCCACAGCAGAGAGCTGGCCTGGAAGAGGGGCAACCGGGACAGAATCCAGGCGCCCTGACCCGGACTAGAACCCGGTGTGCAGGCACCACAAGGCGGAGGATTAGCCTACTGAGCCGCGGCGCCGGCCAAGCATGATTTATATTGGGACCAGCATTGTGGCATAGCAGGCAAAGCTGTTGCCTCCAGGGCTGGCATCCTCTATGGATGCCGGTTTGAATGCCAGCTACTCCACTTCTGATCCAGCTCTCTATTGTGGCCTGGGAATTCAGTACAGGATGGCCCAAGTCCTTGGGCCCCTGCACCTGCATGGGAGACCCAGAGGAAGCTCCTGGTTTCAGATTGGCACAGCTCTGGCCGTTGTGGCCAATTGGGGAGTGAACCATCGGATGGAAGACCTCTCTCTCTCTCTGCCTCTCCTCCTTCTGTGTAACTCTGACTTTCAAATAAATAAATAAATAAATCTTTAAAATAAAAGTGGTAGTGGCTATATTTGCAGTGATAAAGTAGAATGGAAATTTTGTAATGGTAAAGGGGTCAATTCATCAAGAAAATATAATACTTACTTGAGTGCTCACAAGCCAAGTACTATGCATTGTATTCACTCTCCTATTTGTCAAACTTTATAAAGCAGGTATGAGTATTTCTATTTTACTTACAAAGAAAATAAGACTATTAACTGGGGCTGGCGCTGTGGTGTAGTGGGGTAAAGCCGCTGCCTCCAGCACTGATTCTAGCCCCGCCTGCTCTACTTTTGATCCAGCTCTCTGCTATGGTCTGGGAAAGCAGTAGATGATGGCCCAAGTCCTTGGGCCCTGCACCAGCATGGGAGACCAGGAGGAAGCACCTGGCTCCTGGCTTCGGATCGGCGCAGCTCTGGCCGTTGCGGCCATTTGGAGAGTGAACCAATGCAAGGAAGACCTTTCTCTCTCTCTCACTGTCTGTAAACTCTACCTGTCAAATAAATTAAAAAAAAAAAAAAAAATACACTGACGGGGGCTGACTCTGTGGTGCAGTGGGTTAAAACCGCAGCCTGCAGCGGCATCCCATATGGGCACTCCATGCTCCACTTCTATACAGCTTCCTGCTAATGTGCCTGGGAAAGCAGCTCAAGTCCTTGGGCCCTTGCAACCATGTGGGAGACCAGGAAGCTCCTGGCTTCAGATTGGCTCAACTCCAGCCACTGTGGCTATCTGGGGAGTGAACCAGAGGATGGAACTCAAACTTAAGAGTTCCAACTGCTCCACCTCTGATCCAGTTCCCTGCTTAGCGTGCCTGGAAAAGCAGTAGAAGATGACCCCAAGTGCCTCTGCCACCAATGTAGGTGTCTGTAAACTGTCTGTAAACTCTACCTGTCAAATAAATTAAAAAAAAAAAAAAAAATACACTGACGGGGGCTGACTCTGTGGTGCAGTGGGTTAAAACCGCAGCCTGCAGCGGCATCCCATATGGGCACTCCATGCTCCACTTCTATACAGCTTCCTGCTAATGTGCCTGGGAAAGCAGCTCAAGTCCTTGGGCCCTTGCAACCATGTGGGAGACCAGGAAGCTCCTGGCTTCAGATTGGCTCAACTCCAGCCACTGTGGCTATCTGGGGAGTGAACCAGAGGATGGAACTCAAACTTAAGAGTTCCAACTGCTCCACCTCTGATCCAGTTCCCTGCTTAGCGTGCCTGGAAAAGCAGTAGAAGATGACCCCAAGTGCCTCTGCCACCAATGTAGGAGACCCAGATGGAGTTCTGGGAGCCTAGTTTCAGCCTGGACCAGCCCCCAGTGTTGAGTCCATTTGTGGAGTGAACCAGCAGACAGAAGGTCTCTCATTCTGTCTCTCCCTAACTCTGCCTTTCAAATAAATAAGTAAATAAAAACACTACACTGATTCTTCAAGGAGGTTAGTGAACAGTATTCACAAAATGTAAACTGTATGAAAGGCTTCATAAATCAAACTAGTCTAAGATTTTTACATAATGTGTAAATCTGTAGTAATTTTTAAACTAATATGCAACACCTGTGGTAATTTTTTTGAATGAATTTTTTTTTTTAAAAAATTGATTTATCTAAAGCAAGCATTTGGTGCAGCAGGTAAGATGCTGCTTTGGATGCCCAGGTGTCATGTAGGAGTGCTTGGGTTCAAGTTCTAGCTCCAGTTCCAGCTCTAGCTCTTGATTTTAGATTCCTGCTAATGCACAGATTGGTAGACATTAGGCAATGGCTGAAGAATTGGCCCAGTCCTGCTACTGTGGGCATTTAGGAGTGAAACAGAGAACAGACCATCTCTCTCTGCATTTCAAATAAAATAAAAATTTTAAACAACTACATCTAAGTAATCTAATGACTTTAAAAAATTTTTTTAAAAGATTTATTTATTTATCTGTAAGGCAGAGTTACAGAGAAGCAGAGGCAGAGAGACAAAGAGAGAGAGAAAGAGCCTTTCATTCAATGGTTTACTCCCCAGGTGGCTACAACAGCTGGAGCTGTGCCAATCCGAAGCCAGGAGCTTCTTCTAAGTTTCCTGTGCAGGTGCAGAGGCCCAATGTCTTGGGCCATCTTCTACTGCTTTCCCAGGCCATAACAAAGAGCTGGATGTGAAGTGGAGCAGTTGAGAGTTGAACCTGCGCCCATATGGGAAGCCGGCACAGCAGGCAGTGGCTTTACCTGCTCGCCACAGCGCCGGTCCCACTAATAACCTTTTATTTATTTATTTATTTATTTATTTATTTTTTGACAGGCAGAGTGGACAGTGAGAGAGAGAGAAAGGTCTTCCTTTGCCGTTGGTTCACCCTCCAATGGCTGCCGCGGCCGGCGCGCCACGCTGATCCGATGGCACTAGCCAGGTACTTATCCTGGTCTCCCATGGGGTGCAGGGCCCAAGGACTTGGGCCATCCTCCACTGCACTCCCTGGCCACAGCAGAGAGCCACTAATAACCTTTTTTTTTTTTTTTTTTTTGACAGGCAGAGTGGACAGTGAGAGAGAGAGACAGAGAGAAAGGTCTTCCTTTGCCGTTGGTTCACCCTCCAATGGCCGCCGCGGCCGGCGCTCACCGCGCTGATCCGATGGCAGGAGCCAGGAGCCAGGTGCTTTTCCTGGTCTCCCATGGGGTGCAGGGCCCAAGCACCTGGGCCATCCTCCACTGCACTCCCTGGCCACAGCAGAGAGCTGGCCTGGAAGAGGGGCAACCGGGACAGAATCCGGTGCCCCAACCGGGACTAGAACCCGGTGTGCCGGCGCCGCTAGGCGGAGGATTAGCCTAGTGAGCCGCGCGCCGGCCTACTAATAACCTTTTAAAAGCAGAAACAAGCGGTGGCCTTTGGTATAGCAGAACCCACATCCCATACTGGAGGGCCTGGTTCGAATTCTGGCTCCTCTTCTTCTAATCCAGCTTCCTGCTAATGCGCAATTGGGAGGCAGCAGGTGATGGATGGTCCAAGGGTTGGGTCACTGCCACTCAGGTGGGAAATCTAGACTGAGATCTAGGCTTTTAGCTCCAATCCAGTGTTGTGGGCATTTGAGGAGTGAACCAGCAGATGGAAGATCCCTGTGTCTGCCTGCCTTTCAAACAAACAAGTGAAAATAGAAAAGAGCAGCCAGATTGTTTATCAGACAATGCAACCTCTATCCACCACGTCGCAGTTCACAAGTACAAGTAAATGTTTTGCTTTTCAACTCTTGCAAAAAAAAAAAAAAAAAAAAAAAGTTAAGTAAGTTACAGTGCAGCTTCACACAACTTCAATAACTGGAGGCTCTGAAAAGTTTGCTCCTAGGGAGGAACAAACGTAAACCACTGCGAACCCTCACAGTGAAGGCGAACACCTGCGGACAATCATCGCCCCCACCTGCGCCACGGCAGGAGTGCGAAATACACCTCTCTGCACTATTTAAGGCAACCGGATGCAAAACAACTGGGTCTGCGGCTACTCACTGGGGGCAGAGGTGACGAGACAGGGCCGGCCAGCCGCCCGACTCTGCGGTTACAGCGACGCAGGCCTCGCTTGGCGTTTCTGTTTCATCTTGGGGCTACCCCAGCACCCCGGCAGCGTCTATGGCTTACCAATGCAGAGCCCGGGGCACCTCCCAGGGCGCCCCCGGACCCGACCGGCCTCTGGGCAGCGGCCACCTTTACCATGTCAAGGGCACATCTGCTCTGCCCAGGCCCAACAGGTGCGGGTGCGGGTGCCGGCGCGCCGTCCCCGACTCACCTCCGAGGGGTGTTGAGGAGCCGCTGCTGCTCGTCCCCTTCCTCCTCATCCTCGTCTGTCTCGGAGTCGGGGTGATAGTAGAAGGCCCCGCTGCTCTGCTTGCGCTTACGGCTGACCGGGTAGTAGAAGAAGCCGTGACCGGACGCGTCGCCTCCAGTTTCAGGCCTTCGGGCCGAGCCCCCGGCCCCGGGCCCCGGCTCCTGCTGGGCTCGGGCTCGCCCCGGGTGGCGCAGAACTCGGCTGCTCAGCGAGCCCATGGGACACGACTCCCCGGGACTTCAGGGAGCGCACCTCAGGGATCCCAAAGGAGAGGGTCTCCCGCCATGGCCCGGCCGCCGCCGGCCTCCCCGCAGCTCAGGTGCCTACACTGCCACCTTCTCACGCGCAGCCCCAACCGTTGCAGCGGACGCTACCACCTCCATCCCCGCCCCGCCCGCCGCGTCCTGCCGCGCGGCGCGCCAGGACCGCAGGGCCTCGCCCCCTTGCCTTCTCAACAAAGCGCGGGCCGGGCGGCGCCTGCGCACGGCGAGCCTCCGGAAGGGGCGGGGACAAGCGGGCGTGTGGGCGGAGCGTATGCGGATGGGTGGCTCCCGTACTGCGGCCGACCGGTGGCTAACCGCAGGGTTGGGGCAAACATCGTTTTTAGGGGTAGGTCACACAACCCTTTGTACTGCCAAGACTTGGGGTGGCAGGTCGTTCATTCACAAGGGTTCCTTGAGCTCCGAGGCTTCTTGGAGTCCTGCCGGGAGACGAGCTAGAAGCCGATGCGGCTGGGGCTCGGGGCCCCTAGGGGGCTTGGAGCTGAGGCCTTGCAGGGTTGGGCGTGGCTTCCTGTGGGAGGAGAACCAGGAATGAGGAGCTGCGTGGGACGCCACGGGTGCTTGAACGTCAACCCTCGCCTACTGAGAACAGCAAAGAGACTCGCTGGGTTACAGCGCACAGTCCCACACTCAGCGCCAGGCCTGTAGCTGAATAAGAAGCTGGATCAGCTTAAAGTGCCCTCAGGAGGCCCTAGCATAATTTACAGGTGTAGACCTGGTTTGCAGCCCTGTTTGAGGCAGCTTTCACTCCCCGACTCCCTTCTACTTTTTGAGTACAATATAATGAAGAATTCCAAATAGAGTGACAAACACGTGTGGACCCACCACTGGTTTAAAAATCTTATCTTGCTTTGATTCATTAACCCCTCCCCGCCAGATTTACTGTAGTGTAACTGGTGATTCATGCTTTTAAAGTAGAATATAGATAGGCAGGAGCCCCCTCTGTACCAGCCCTCCATCTCATTCTGTCTCCGCAGAGGTGATCCCCATCCTGCCAATAGTATATTATTGTTGCACATGTCCTTACCTGCAAACCCAAAAACGTATTTTGCTTTGCATATTCAAACATATAAAATAGAACCATACAGAACCTAACATATTGCCTCTTTCTCATCTCTCAAAATTATATTTTGGACAGAAAGCTCTAGTTAATTTTCAGTTATTTCAATAACTGATATATCCAGTCATTATATGACCCATATTTTATCAGTTCCCTTACCGAGGGAGTTGTTTCTACTTTAATGTTCTTACAAAGAAGAAATGGACTTCAGAAAATGGACCTTCCATTCTTTCGAAAAAAAATATCTGCACTGAACTTGAAGCTCGTTCCCCAAACAGATCCCCAGAAGTGGGTTTGCTGAAAAGTTTTCAATTTAATTAACTATGCCAAATTCCTCTCTGGGTTGACTGCATAGTGTGACAATTTACACTCGCATTGGCAGTATATGGAGTTTGGGGCCCCAGTGGACTAGTGTCTGCTTCATGCCTGAGAAATCTGAACTGAGAAAAGCTAGCTGAGGCAGCTTGGGGGCGGAGGTGGGAAGCAGGGAATGACAGCTCCACGGGGATCAGCTTGCATGTGCAGAATTTATAAGCACAAAGGATGTGCAGGTATTTCCCATGGAGTAGGTAGGGGGCATGAAGAGATAGCCAGCATGAGATCATACTAGATTCTGTCAAAAGATTTGGGTAAAAGGGGCAAACAGACCAGCACAGAGAACCTGAAGACGTCACTGACTTGATTCCTAGTTTCTGAGAAAGCAGAACTGCATTTACCTTGCCAACAGAACCACAGGTAAGTGGTTCTCCAGTTCCCTGGTGATGGGGTTGACAAAGGAACCAGGAAAATGCCCACAACAATCAACTTTGTTTTTGAAAAAAATTTATCCATTTATTTGAAAGGCAGAATTAACAGAAAGAGAGGGAGAGAAATCTTCCATCCACTGTTTCACTCCCCAAATGGCGGCAACAGCTGGAGCTGGACTGGTCCAAAGCTGGGAGCCAGGAGCTTCTTTGGGGTCTCCCACGTGGGTGCAGGTGCCTGTGCAGTTGGGCTATCTTCCAAGGCTTGTTAGCTTTTCCAGGCACATTAGCAGAGAGCTGGATCAGAAGTGGAGCAGCCGGGATTCGAACCGGCACCCACAAGGGATGCAGGCGCCACAGGTGGTGGCTTTACCTGCAACACCACAATGCTGGCCCCAACAATCAACTTTAAATGTCTAAGAAGGCTCCAGAGGGCTGATCCTGTATCACCACAGCAATAGCACTCAAGCAGGACAGTCCTGCTCCTCTTGCCTCCCTGCTGCTTCAGCCCCTGTGAGGTAGGTTGAGGGGAGAGTGGCAGATGGAGGAAGCCTAGGTGGAGAAAGAAAAGCCCATCATCTCCCCTTCCCCCAGAGCCAGCTTCCTACTGGCAAGAAGCAAGAACTCTAAGTTTGAATTTTCACTTGATATATCAATTATTGAAATGACATTTGTTAAATAAGTCACACATTGGAATGATCAGAAAAGTCATGGCCCTATACTCTACCTGGATTTATATCTAAAGACAGGAGAACTAGGCCACTGAATAAATGTGGGAGAGAAAAAGTTCCTTATATCTCAGGGTCACGTTTGTTCAATAAAACCAACATTCCTCTAGGGTGGCTTTATCCTGCCTTCTAAAAAGCTTCTGGCCAATACATTTATTTGTTAAGTTTGGCTAGTATAATTTAAAAGTAAAACTTCTACCAAAAAATTCATAATGCTTCCAAAGACAAAGCTGATTTGTAGGTTTCATGGTGTTCTGTATAGATATTGAAGTAGCAGTATCATTTCCTGCTTTTAACTGGAACAACCAAGTATTCACATAAGTAGATTTCACCAATAGCTCCAGCATTTATAATAGACAAGTAACACTAAACTGAAAAGTAAATCCTTATTATTTCACCTACCAAAATACAATAGATATCATAGTCGGAACAAAGAAGGCAAGTATTCTTATTATCATAAGAATAGAAATGTTCTTTATACATGGATAATATTTAATTTAAATGTTCTACTTGGAATAGAGAGCACTGCTTATTTCCAGAGAGCCTGGCTCATTTCCAGGGAGTAAGTTAACACATTGTTTTATATCATTGAGAAGTGTTTGGCATATGTGAACTTTAGTATTATAGCATTAGACAAACAGAAGACTAAATAAGTCATTTTTTCCTATGCTGTAATTCCCAATAGAAACGGAGCAACACAAGTCTTTCAAAAATAGGTCCTTTCAGGGCCCAGGATGAAAAATCTCAGAAGTGGAAAGCCAATCAGAGAAAGAGTACACTTCATTTTAAAGTCAGCATTTTTTATTAAAATTATTTTCCATGTTGTAAATGAAATCCAAATACACCATCAAAATAATTCTAGAGTGGAAAGGCATAATGCAAATGTAAATTACTACAAATCAACAAAATCAAAAAAGATTTTTAAAATTGTTTTTAGCTCAAAAAGTTTTCTTTATATCAAAGTAACTTCACAGCTTTTCACCATTACCAGAATACCTAACTTGAAGCTTTAATTTTTTCCATTCACTTCCAAGCTGAATTAAGACATTAACTGTCATATTGTGGAATGTACAGCATTTATGTCTGATAACCAGATGTATATAATCTGTATACCACACTGACAATTTAGCTTGTTCAGGTAAATTGATTTTCGTGTACTTCAACCAGTGATCACAACATGGCATATGATGAGAGAAATCTTAGTAAAGATCAACTAACACTACAAATAAAACCTTTAAAAAAGTTTGACAGATGCTTTCAATCTATGATTATGTAAAAAAGAAAACTAGACAGCTATTCTTATAACTAATGCTCACAATTTCAAATGAATAAATTACTAGCCACTCAAAAAATAGGATTAGGGAAGAAAGTGATTTTAGAACAGTCTTCCATTTTGAAAGTTTTTCACCAGAAAGAAAACATGAAATAACGTATTCAATTTCTCAAACACAAATGAGGAAATAATCTGTTAAAAACATGGAGCATATTTTTATTTCTAATTTTAAATTTCCACATAGGTTTCAAAGCTTTGAAATGCAAGTACCACTTTAAAACATCATTATAGCCGGCGCCGTGGCTCACTAGGCTAATCCTCCGCCTAGCGGCGCCGGCACACCGGGTTCTAGTCCCGGTCGGGGCGCCGGATTCTGTCCCGGTTGCCCCTCTTCCAGGCCAGCCCTCTGCTGTGGCCAGGGAGTGCAGTGGAGGATGGCCCAGGTGCTTGGGCCCTGCACCCCATGGGAGACCAGGAAAAGCACCTGGCTCCTGGCTCCTGCCATCGGATCAGCGCGGTGCGCCGGCCGCAGCGCGCTGACCGCGGCGGCCATTTGAGGGTGAACCACCGGCCAAAAGAGAGACCTTTCTCTCTGTCTCTCTCTCTCTCTCACTATCCACTCTGCCTGTCAAAAAAATAAAAAAAAAAAAAAAAAAAAAAAAAAAAAAAAAAAAAAAAAAAAACATCATTATGACTAATTACAGATGAATAATAATACAGACAGGCTATATCCTAGGAGACAACCGTAGGCGTTTTAATTGGAAATGAGCATTCTGAGATCATGCTAATAGCAGTGTAGAAAAATGAAGTTAAAAAAAAAATGCAGAGTGTTGAGACACTTCTCTCCTTCTGGGATTTATTCTAATCATCTCCTCCACAGAGAACGAGCAGCACCTTCCTGTAGTCCCCTGATGTGTCACCCTGGGGCGAGGGAAGCAAAGTTACAGTTAGACCAGTGCCTTCTTAAGTGGAATCTGGCACAGTTAACAGCTAAGTTAACTTTTTTTTTTTAATTTTTTAATTTATTTGAAAGGCAGAGTTACAGAGAGGCAGAGGCAGAGAGAGAGAAAGAAAGAGGTCTTCCATCCGCTGGTTCACTCCCCAGATGGCCCAATAGCCAGAGCTATGCCAATCCAAAGCCAGGAGCCAAGAGCTTCCTCTGGGTCGCCCATGTATGTGCAGGGGCCCAAGCACCTGGGGCCATCTTGTACTGCTTTCCCAGGCCATTGCAGAGAGCTGGATCAGAAGTGCAGCGGAGAACCATATGGGATGCTGGCATTGCAAGCAACTGGCCCTTAACTCTTTCAAGCCCTTCTAACCCATGTGAGAGACCTGGGTAGAATTCCGGTTCCTGGCTTCCACCTGGCCCAGTCCCAGTTGTTGTGCCATTTGGGAAGTAAGCCAGTGATAGAAAGATCTCTTTCTTTCTCTATTATTCTGCCTTTCAAATAAATAATCTTAAAAACAAACAAACAAAACAAAGATAAGTTTGGGGGCTGGCATTGTAGTGCAGCAGGTTAAGCTGCCAACTGTAATGCTGGCATCCCATATCCCATATAAATGTCTGTTCAAGTCCAGGTTGCTCTACTTCTGATCCAGCTCCTTGCTAATGCTCCTGGGAAAGTAGCAGAAGATGGCCTCCATGTGGGAGACCTGGATAAAGCTCCTGGCTCCTGGCTTCAGCTTGGCTCAGCTCTGGCTGTGAGGCCATTTAGGGAATGAACCAGTGGATAGAAGCTCTCTCCGTCTTTCTGTGTCTCTCCCTCTCTCATATGGGATGCCATTGTTGCAGGCAGCGGCTTAATCTGCTTTGCTACAATGCCAGCCTCTTCATAAGCTCTTTGAAGACTTCTTGTTTGCATGATTTCAATTTCCTTTCATCAAAATAAGCTCATCTTTTAATTCCATTTTCCACATATTACATAATATTATTCTATAACATTTTATTTATGTAAGTATAAGTAATATAAAATAATGCAAGAGGCAGGTACACTGGGTTAAGCCAACACTTGGAACATCCATATCTCATATTGGAGTGTTTGGGATTGGCCGGTGCCATGGCTCAATAGGCTAATCCTCCACGGCACTGGCACACGGGTTCTAGTCCCGGTCGGGGCGCCGGATTCTGTCCAGGTTGCTCCTCTTCCAGTCCAGCTCTCTGCTATGGCCTGGGAGTGCAGTGGAGGATGGCCCAAGTACTTGGGCCCTGCACCCGCAGGGAAGACCAGGATAAGCACCTGGCTCCTGCCATCGGATCAGCGCAGTGCGCCGGCCGCAGCGTGCCGGCCACAGCGGCCATTGGAGGGTGAACCAACAGTAAAGGAAGACCTTTCTCTCTGTCTCTTTCTCGCACTGTCCACCACTCTGCCTGTCAAAAAAAAAAAAAAAAAGAAGCAATATGGAGTGTTTGGGATCAAGTCCCATCTCTGCCTCCAATCTAGCTTCCTGCTAATGTGCACACCGGGAGGCAGCAGATGATGGTTCAAGTACCTGAGTTCTTGCCAGCCACATAGGAGACCCAGGTAGACTGCCTGGTTCCTGGCTTCAGCACAACTTTGGCTGTTATAGGCATTTGGAAAGTGAACTGAGGATAGAAGTTCTCTTTCTCTGTCTCTGTCTTTCCCTATCATTCTGCATTTCAGATAAATAAATCTTTAAAAGAATAAATTAACTAATGTAAATAATATAAATAATGGTATGATAAAAGTATAAGACATAGGGTCCTTTTTCAGATTTCATTAAAATTTTTATTCAGAATCTCTTCACAGACCTTTATTGTAATAAAATATATAAAATGTCATTTTAAGTGTATAATTCAGCAGTATTAATTACATTCACAATGCTGAGCAACCATAATCATTGTCTATTTCCAAAACCCTCTTGTCAACCCCAACAGAAACTCTGCACCTGCTAAGCAGTAATTCCCTATTCCTCCCTGACTTCTCCCAGCCCCTGATAGCCCCTCATATACTCCGTCTTTATGAATTTAACTATGCTACCTATTTCATGTAAGTAGAATCATAAAATGTTTAACCTGTTATGTCTGGTTTATTTCACTTGGCATATTTTCAAAGTCCATCCATGTGTAGGAAATGTCCTTCTTCTTCATGTATGCATAGACCAGATTTTATCTATCCATTCATCTATTGAATACTTAGGCTGTTTCTACCTTTTGCCTAATGTGATTAGTGTATTCACTGGTGTACAAGTATCTGTTTGAATCTCTGTTTTTATTTCAGTTGAATATATACCTGGAAGTGAAATTGCCTAGTCTTATGGTAATTGTATTATCATATAATATTATAACAACTACTTTTGAAGAAATGCCAAAGTGTTTGTCCACTGTTTTACATCCCACCAGAATTGCATGAGGGTCCCAGTTACTCTACATCATCACTAACATTTGCTATTACTGGGGGGTAAGAAGGAAAAGGGTGTTTTTGTTTTTTCTTTTTAAATTATAACCATTCTAGTAGGTGTGAAATGGTATCTCATTCTGGTTTTGATTTGCATTTCCCTAGTGGTATGACTCTTTTTTCATGTGCTTATTGAACATTCGTGTGTCTTCTTTGGAGAAATCTCTATTTGGGGCCAGCATTGTGGCACAGCAAGTAAAGCTGATGACTGATGCTGCCATCCCACTTGGGCACTGGTTGGAATCCTGGCTGCTCCACTTCCGATCTAGCTCCCTGCTAATTGCCTGGGAAATAAGCAGCATATGGCCCATGTCCTTTGGTCCCTGTGCCCACCTGGGAGACCTGGAAGAAGTTCCTGGTTCCTGGCTTCGGCTTGGCCCAGCCCTGACCATTGCAGCCATTTGGGGAGTGAACCAGTGGATGATGACCTCTCTCTATCTCTCTTTCTCACTCTCTTCCTCTCTGTCTATAACTCTGCCTTGGATTGTCTTTTTGTTATTGAATTGTAGGCATTCTTTAAATATTCTGGGTTGTAAAACCCTTATCAAGTACAGTTTATAACAATTTACGGTTCCTCCCGAAGTCCAGACAGTGAGTTTTCACTAAGCCCTTCCCAGTGCTGGTTATGATCTCTGTAAACGTTGTTAAGGTATTAGGTGAAAAATCATTATTTGTTTTTATTTGGAAGCCACTGAATATTAGTTAGCTTACCTAATATTTTCTCTTTATTGAAGATTATTTATTTGAAAGAGAGAGGGAGAGAGAGAGGGAGAAGAGAGAGACCTTCCTTCCATCTGCTGGTTCACACCCCAAATGGCTGCAACAGCCAGGGCGGGGCCAGGCCAAAGTCAGGAGCCTGGACCGCCAACTGGGAGAGCTGATCACAGTGACCAGTGACTGATTCAATCACGCCCATGCCACTCCCTAAAACCCAAAAGGTCAGGATCCAGTGAGCTTCTGGATAGCATGTGGAGGTTCCTAGTAGGGTGGGGAACCCAGGAAGGGCGCAGAAGCTCTGTGCCCTCCTCACCCACCACACCCTATGCCTCTCATCCTCTGTATCCTTGTAATACCCTTTATAATAAACCAGTAAATGTGTTCCCCTGAGTCCTATGAGCTGCTCCTGAAAATGAATCGAACCTAAGGAAGGGCTGTGGGAATTCCGATTTACAGCCAGTCAGAAACACAGGTGACACAACCTGCGTGGGAAGCGGGGACACTTCTGTGGGTCTGGCCTTCAGCCTACGAGATCTGATGCCATCTCCAGGCAGACAGCGTCAGAACTGAATTGGAGTACAGGGTGCCCAGCTGGCTTCTGCTGCTTGCTTGGTATATGTGGAAAATCCCACCTACACCTGGGGTCAGAAATGTGTGGTTGGGTGAAAATATGGGAGAAAGTAAGTTTGTTCCTATAGCCTCAGATATGTCTCCAAGCCACGAGTCGGATTCAGAATATTTAATTAATAGCTTCTAAGTAACTTGTTCTCAGCTTCATGTTCCTAAGACTCTTCTGGCTTCCTCCAGAAGCAGAATCCCAGTAATCAAGGGTTCTGAGGGATGTGAATCATTTCTCGTCACTCCCAGACCATCTTAGTTCTGCTGGATGTCTGGTGCCAGGTAATAACAGTGACCCAGGGCAAGGAAAATGCTTTCCCACCTTGCCAGCACTCAGCGGGCCCGGCACTGCATGCTGGCTTCAGGTGCTTATCTTTTGTTGTAATTATGCAGACAAGGAAATTGTGCACTTGCAAGTATTCATTAAAATGCGACCTGTCTCTGTCTGGGTTCAGCATGAAGTCACTGTTGTCTTTATAAAGCAAGTATCTCCAACTTCCCATGTGGAGTTATAGTTTGCGTGTTCTCCAGAGGCTCAGATGTTGGAAGCTCGGTCCAAAGGGCAGGAAGTAGAGGCACCTCTAAGAGGCGGAGTCTGGTGGGAGGTGACTGGGTAACTGGGGCAGGGGGCGGGGCTGACTTCTGACGGGGTTCAAGTAGTTCTTGTGGAGCGTGTGCTGCCCTGTCTCACCATGTGGCTTCTCCCTCTTGCCCGCTGTGATGCCACCTTCCATGATGCGACAGTCGGGGCCCCACCAAAGGGCTGCTGCCCAGCGGTTTGGACTTTCAGCCTCCAAAACTGAGCTTAATCAATTTCTTTTCTGTACAGAGTACCCAGGCCCAGGTATTTTGCGATAGCGGGGAAAATAGACTAACCCACTTGGCAAAGGTTTGTAAGTCTATGTGACAGGAGAGAGACTAGGAATATCTGAAGGAGGCACTCTTTTGAAAGGCAATGACAGCTGCTAGGAAGGGGACAGGAAGTGCTAAATGCCATGGGCTGAGCCCTGTCCTTTCAGTGGTGCTCTGCCCCGGTCAGGGCGAGGCTGCTGTGACCTACCTTGATGAAAGAGTACAGAGACTTCCCATAGAGCTTCCTGAAATTTGCCCGGATGTCCATCATGTCAATCTCTGCCCGTGAAACCATCACACGGATGAGGGTGTCGTCATCTGTGCCCAAGCCCTAGGGCAGAAAACAAGATCCCCGCACAGGGGAGCCCATTGGTTTCACACCGTGCTTCTCTTCCACCTCTTAGGGCTGGGGAACGTCTGGCCCGAGGGCCGTCCAAGACCCACAGAATCAATGGGTCTGGCCCTGCCAAGGCAAACGCAGGCAGGACATCTGTAGCAGGCTGATTTTTAAGTGGATCATTTCGTATGGCCCACAAATGATGCTATACAGATCCAAATGGCCCTTAGCAGGAAAAAGGTTGCCCACCCCTGGCAGGACAGGACGAGACACCACTCCACAGATGTCCTTTTGGGGCACACAGACTATTCTACATGCTTACCAACACCGCATGTTCTGACCACAGGATACCACTCTGCCTTTCTGGGGACAAACCCTGTGCCGTGCAGCCTGCCTGTCTCATCCGTAACAGCCTTGCCCCCTGGGATGTCATCCTGCCCTCCCCACACCATGGCAAAGCTTTTGGTGCAAAACTTGCTTGTAGGTCCTGCTCCAATATATCAGCTTTTTAATATATTCTTTTCAAACCCCTCACCATAAAGGAACCCCCAAAATACTGGGAAAAACATACCCTTTCCTCCCTGTTCCTATAATGTGTAGATCCTCAGCTACTGTATTACCATCTCACTTTTTTTTTTTTTTAATATTTATTTATTTGAAAGAGAGAGGTAAAGACACAGAGAGAGGTCTCCCATCCACTGATTCACTCCCCAAATGGCTGCAACACCAGAGCTGAGCTATTTCAAAGTCAGGAGCCAGGATCTTCTTCTGGGTCTCCCATGCAGGTGCAGGGCCCAAGGACTTGGGCCATCCTCCTCTGCTTTCCCAGGCCATAGCAGAGAGCTGGATTGGAAGTGGAGCAGCTGGGATGGAAACCAGCACCCATATGGATTGGTGGTGTTGCAGGCCAGTGCTTTAACCCACTGCACCACAATGCCAGCCCCTCTCATGTATTTTTATTGGTATTTTGTGCTAGTTGCCATCCTGGCAGGTTAGCTGTTCTTTGAGAGCAAGAGTACATGGTTATCTTTCCTGCATCTCTCATGGTTTCAGCAAAGGTCCTTGGAAAGAGTGCAAGACATGGGTAGGAGCACTGGCTCCGGAGCTAGACTGTCAGTGTGTACATCCTTGTGCCATTACTTCCACACCAAGGACCTTGAGAAACCTGCAAATCTTCCCCATGCCTCAGTTTCCTCATCTGTAAAGCAGGAGCTCATAATTGTACCTGCCCCACAGAACTGCTGCATGGAAAGAATTAATCTATACAAATAAAGCATTAAAAACAGAGACCCAGGGGCTGGTGTTGTGGTGTAGCAGGTAAAGCTGCAGCCTGTGTTGCTGACATCCCATAAGGGCACCAGTTGGTGTCCTGGCTGCTCCATTTCCAATCTAGCTCCCTGCTAATGGCTCAGGAAAAGTAGTAGAAGACAGCCCAAACATGGGCCCCTGCCACCCACTTGGGAGACTGAGATGAAGCTCCTGGCTCTTGGCTTTGGCCTAGCCCAGCCCCTGGGCCGCTGTAGCCATCTGAGGAGTGAACCAGTGGATGCAAGATCTCTCTCTCTCTCTCTCTCTCTCACTGTAACTCTGACTTTCAAATAAATCAATGAATCTTAAAAAAAAAAAAAAAAGTGATCCACACACCCCAAGTACTCAATAAATACACCTCATATTATCTGCAAGGCACTCATTGAAGTAATTGGTGAATTGAATTGGATCATTCAGGTGGAAATTTGGGTGGGGGATATAAGTAAGCCTAGGAAAATGGACACAAGATATGTCAAAGTCATTCACATGCCAAAAATGAAGCCATTTACCTTCATAGACTTATAAAGTCTTTCAGCAAAATATGCAGGCTTGTTCCTCATGCACTTCACTACCGAGAGAAAAAGAAATGAAAAGATTATAGTTAAGACCGTTAGGAAAAGAAAAGTGACAATTGTGCCCTCAGTTTCTACAAGGCATCAAGTAATATCTCGATTACTTTGCAGGAGAAATTGTAGCCAAACAATGTTTCCTGAACATAGGCTATGCTCTAGGTGTTTTCAGACAGAAAGTACCCTCCCTTTATCATCAGGTTCCTGGAGAAATACTTATTAAGGCCATCAAAGGATAGGGTGACATGTAGTTTCAAAATGATGATGACTATCTCTACTAGCTGAAACAGTTATTAGTTCTAAGCACTCACAGACTTGCAAGATGTAGCTAATAGTATTTTATTTCCCATGCATGGAGATATTAGAAGCACAGAAGACACAAAATATATGGACCACCTGGCATGATAGCAATCAGGCTATATATATTTCTTGCTTAAAATTCTAGCACCCGTCTCCTCCTGAGTGATTCAAACAACTTTTATCTCTGAAAAAGACTCTATATCCCCATGACAACAGACTGATAACAGAGGAGGACAGTCTACAGACATGTGCTCCCCCCCACCCGCCGCCGCCCTCAACCAGCAGCTTACCTATGGCCAGCAGGGCATCTTCAAAGCTACCAGACGTCTCGGATTTAATACTCTGCTCAATATCCTTCTGGGATATCCTTTTGTATTCATCAAACACTGCAAGCAACAACGAGATGGTGTTACCACAATAAAACAGAGAGGCAGCTCGAATCTATGGAGAGAAGCAGGCCCTCCACACTGTTTATTCTTTGGTGGCCTGCAAGAGGAAACTAACTAGCCATGTGGGTGAGGGGCCAGCAGGAGTGGAGTCGTCCATGGTTAGGGGGAAGGGACGCTGATCCTGGGAACATCAGGAAAGACCCTTCCCTTCCCCAGACCCTCTTTCCTCACCCCTGAGACATCTTGCTTTGCACATTGTTTTCTTAATAAGCAGAATGTATCTTTTTCTAATTTTGATCTTGGCACTCACGTGTTCTTCTTCCTTTTGGTTCATCAAAACCAGACCATTCAATCTCTTCAAAACTGAGACACATTTAATTACAGCCAGTTGCATCTTTTAATAGAGCTTAATATAATTAATTTTTTTCTTTTTTGTGAGGCAGTTTTGGATGTGATGAATATATTTTCCTTTCTTGCTGTCTCTTTCTGGAATCTTCCTAGGACAGATAACTTTCATTTATCCTCTTCTTTGCCTGGGCCCCCATCAGGGCTGTCAATCAAAGGACATCCATACCCAACAACATATAACATAACTTCTACCAAACAAGTGAGTGGTTTATCCAGTCAGCACCTGTTAGACTTGCCTTTCTGGGAAAAATCAAGGGGATTGCCTCACTGAGTCATCTTTCACCCTTGCAGAACCTAAGAATCACCTGGGAAAGCCATCAACTTCCTGGTGTCACTCGCAGAGCTCCTAATTAAGCCAACCTAAAGTAGGGGTTCAAGAATCAGCATTTTTAGTGGAAACCACACTTCAGAAACTCTGCCTTGGAAATTAAATTCATGACTGGCTTCTACTGAGCTCCCCCACACCTCCCTGCTTTCTGCTATTTCTGAAATTACTCAGCTCCTCCTGCCATTCAGTGAGCCACGTTTTTTCCATTTTTCCTCTTGTCTCATTGCATATTGTTTCCATGTTTCATACTTAATTTGCATCCAGTATATTATTATTTGGCATATTTCCAGAAACAATGCTTATCACACACTTAGAAAATTACTAACAAAACCTTGGTTATTATGAATGTTCTCCATTATGGTCAGTTGGTAAGAAAATGATGGCTTTCATTACCCAAATAGTGATTCTAATATTTTCTCCAAGTGACTTACAAGCAGGTATTTGACAACTGCTCAAGTATTGAGTAGGGCCCAGAAGTGAAGATTCTTTAAAAATGTATTTAGGCACTAGATTGATTTCTGAGGGCCTGCAGTTCTATGAAAGTACCACCAGGGGGGGAGATCTGTGTTGTTTGTGATCAGGTAAGGGAAGGCAATGAATTCAAGATCCGAGTCAGAAGTTGGTCTGACCATAATACAAAGTATGGGCCTATTTTTTGGTCACAGTCGAATACATGAAATAACTACAACTTTAGAATGCATCATGCTTTCATCTGGCTCTGGGTGCTTCTAAGAAATGGCTTCCAGCCTATCTCAGACAAGGTGACCCACCCTCTGGACCAAGCAGGACAATGCTTCCTGAGGCTACTCTCAAGCACCATAGGACAGATAGCAAGAGAAAAATACCCATATCCATCGCTACACCTATTTGTCAGCTTTGAAGTAGCTATGGAATACAGAACTCCGCCCATTTATCCCCATAGAAGAATTATGGGTATTTTTTTCTTGATGGGGGATATGTTAGGTAGGAAGTCAGAAATTGAGCCTCTGTGTGTATGAGAAAGGCCTGAAGACCAGCACCCACTGCAGAAGCTCCAGAAGCCCAGCATCTTGCACTTCAAAGTCCTACCCAGACCCGGATGACCCCCCAGGTGGTCCCAGCCCTTCCCCCAAGTAAAGCTCCCAGGAGAATTCTCTCTCCTCAGGATCAAAGGGGTTACCTGATAACATGGGGCAATAAAATCTTCTCAGACATGCCCTAAGGGAAGCCCCCCTACTCTGCCCAGGTGCCAGCAAATCTGGGGAGGAATTTGCTAATTTTCACCCAACAAACCCTTCTGCCAGGACTCCACATCCTTTGTCCTGGAGGAGAGGGGGAGGTGGGTAAACAGACTCCCTTAAAAACTTAAAATCCAACCGGACTGCACGCTCAGCCCTCTGCCTCTGCTGAGCCACCTGCCTGGCCTGCCCAGGTGTATTCTCTCCACTCAACCATGTAACCTCGCTCTTCCCCAATCTAAGCTACTGGGCACTCTCTCTCAGGTTCTGTCTGGAGAGGTGCCCATCTGTTCTTATGGATGTCCCTACCCTAATACACCTTGCTATTTTGCTTTCCACTAAAAAAAAAAAAAAAAGAAAAAAAAGAGAAAAAAGGGGGAGGGGGATGGATGGGGGCTTTTTAGGCACTTTATGTTGGTTTTTTTTTTTTTTTTTTTGACAGGCAGAGTGGACAGTGAGAAAGAGACAGAGAAAAGGTCTTTCCTTTTGCCGTTGTTCACCCCTCAAATGGCCCCCGCGGCCCGGCCACCGGCGTTGATCCGATGACAGGACCCGAGATCCGGGGCTTTTCCTGGTCTCCCATGGGGTGCAGGGCCCAAGCACCTGGGCCATCCTCCACTGCACTCCCTGGCCACAGCAGAGAGCTGGCCTGGAAGAGGGGCAACCGGGACAGAATCCGGCGCCCCGACCGGGACTAGAACCCGGTGTGCCGGCGCCGCAAGGCGGAGGATTAGCCTAGTGAGCCGCGGCGCCGGCCCCACTTTATGTTTTCAATTAGCAAACTCATTATTTTCAAATTTCCCACAAGATTTGTAAATCTGTGAGGTGGGGAGGCATGGTAGATCTAAAAAATAATGATGTACATAAAGACCTAAAGCACTTATTATATAAAATATGAAATATCTTATTAAACTTTTATTGCAGTTTGCAAGAAGAAGATAAGCCTAACAACAAATATTCTGTAATTGTATAATGCCTTTTCCCAAAAGGAGTTAAAAGCACATTACAAAGTTTAGAATGGTCAGAAACAAATTAGAAACATACACATAGGAAATAAAATTTGAAATTATCGCCTATTCATCTTAGGAAGTATAACCCCAAAAGAAATCTCTTTCTAGCTTTACAGCTTGGAAGTTAAACAAGAATAAACATCAATCAACACTTTTATTGCTTCCTGATGTACTAAAGATTATTTTCTTTTATAACCAAATTGGGGCTGCCTTAAAAAAAAAAAACTGGGGTCAGTGCTGTGGTGTAGCAGGTAAAACTGCCATCTCCAACGCCGGCATCCCATATGGGTACCGTTTTATGTCCTGGATGCTCCACTTCTGATCCACTTCCCTGCTAATGTGCCTGGGAAGGCAGCGGAAGCTGGCCCAGGTCCTTGGGTCCCTCCACCCACATGGAGCCCCAGAAGAGACTCCTGACTCCTGGCTTCGGTCTAGCCCAGCCCCAGCCATTGTAGTCATTTGCTGAGTGAACCAGTGGATGGAAGACCTGTCTCTCTCTCATTCTCTGTCTCTTCTTCTTTCTATGTAATTGCTTAAAATAAATAACTAGATCTTTAAAAAATATATATGGAACTACTATATGAGGTGAGTGTTTGGTTTATTGTTAAGACTCTGGTTAACATACCCAGGAGTACTTGGGTTCAATCTCCTGGTCCCAGCTTCCTGCCAATGCAGATGTTGGCCGGATTCCTGCCACTCGGGTGGGAGATCTGGAGAGTGTTTGTGGCTCCTGGCTTTATCATGGGCATTTGGGTAAGGAAAGAGCAGATGGGGGGTTTTCTCTCTCTCTCTCTCTCTGCCTCTCAAATAATAGTTTTTTTTTTTTTTTTAAGGGAAGATAATGGTTCCAGTGCTACCCACATGGGAGACCCAGATGGAGTTCCAGGCCCAGACCCGGCTGCTGTGGGCATTTCGGGAGTAAACCAGCAGATGGAAGAGTTCTCGTTTTCTTTCTTTTTCTGCCTTTCAAGTATATGAAATTAAATAAGTAAACATTTTACAAAATTTAAAAGGACAACAAGAGTCAGTTTCTTAGAAGCAGGAATGCCAGAATTTGATGTTGTCTTTCTGTATCTTCTAACTTTTCATCATTGAGAATTGGCCCTGAGGCGCATCACTGGACTCATGCTTCCCAGTAAGTCTAAGACAGTTCAGTACACTCAGGTCACGGGACTAGGTGAGAGGAAAAGGCTGCCAGTTAATTACAGGCAGTGTGATTGTTGCTTTCCTTTTTTTTTTTTTTCTTTCTAAAGATTTATTTATTTGCAAGGCAAAGTTACAGAGAGAGAGAGAGAGATCGAGAGAGAGAGATCTTTCATCTGCTGGTTCATTTCCCAAATGGCCACAATGGCCAGAGCTGGGCTGATCCAAGCCCCGAGCCAGGAGCTTTTTCTGGGTCTCCCACGTGGGTGCAGGAGCCCAAGAACTTGGGCCATTTTCTGCTACTTTCCCAGGCACATTAGCAGGGAGCTGGATTGGAAGAGGAGCAGCCAGGGCTTGAACCAGCACCCATATGGGATGCCGACACTGCAGGTGGCGGCTTTGACTGCTATGCCACAGTGCTGGACCCCTGCTATTTTTCAAATAGTTTCTTTGAGAATTGAGGTAAGTATCTTACCATGTAACAGATGATTTCGATTCCGGGAACAGAGAACAGTCAGAAATTTCACTTCATCTGTGCCCCATTTCTTCTCTCCGGCCTCATAGAGGTCCTGAAGCCAAACAAAGCACAAGTTTAAAACACCAAAGAGGATGTGCCAGGACACAGGCAAACATTTCCAAACCTGCAAAGAGCTGAGCTGGCTTAGGTTTATTTAGTTGGTAATGGGGGTGGAGGAAGTAGTGGTGAGTGGAAATGACTTGGGATTTTTCCTTAGGCATCAGACCAATGGACCCCATAATGTGCTCCTGGGAGTCAAGGCAAACACCAGCAATTCACTATCTGCAGACAACATGGTTCTAAAGAGCTAAAAGGAATGTCCCGGACTGGGGCTATGCCATGCAGGAGCACTAACCACATGTGGTTCTTTGAATTTGACCATGAAATCTAAATACAATTGAAAATTCATTTCTTCAGTCACACTAGGCACATTTCAAGGGGTCAGCAGTTTTATGTGGCCAGTGGCTACCCCTACAGGGCAGTGTAGACGTAAAATGTTCCCAGTGCTGCAGAAGGTTCTAATGGGCAGCCCTGCTGTGGAATGATCTGTGACTTGCCTGAGGTTACTGAGTTCTCACAGCACAGCACTGCCAAGACCCCACGGGTAACTTCTTACATTGCAACCAGGCAGGACTACCAGAAACTGATCCTGCTCACATTGCATGATTGATAAAACTTCTCTGTTCACTGACAGTAGGCAGCTGACCTGCTCAATTTCTCAAAATGGTCTTCAGTGAAACATATCATCACTCCTGGGGCCCTAACGCCATCTCCTCTGTTTCTTCACTTCTTTCTCTGCCTCCCTCACTGCTGCACAGTCAATTCATAGAAACAGAATTTTACAGGTGGAAGGGCTCAGAGTTAATCTAATTGAAAGCTTTTTAAGTCTCAGCAGGTTTGTGATGCTTGCCATGACTTTTTTTTTTTTTTTAAGAACTTATTTATTTATTTGAGAGAGTTATAGACAGAGGGGGAGAGACAGAAAGGTCTTCCTTCCACTGGTTCACTCCTCAAATGGCCGCAATGGCTGGAGCTGGGCTGATCTGGAGCCAGGAGCAAGGAGCTTCTTCTGGGTCTCTCACGTGGGTGCAGGGGCCCAAGCATTTGGGCCATCTTCTGCTGCTTTCTCAGGCTATTAGCAGAGAGCTGGATTGGAAGAGGAGTGCTGGGACACGAACAGTGCCCCTATGGGATGCCAGCACCACAGGTGGAGGCTTAGCCCGCTCTACCACAGAGAAGGCCCCTGCTATGACTTCTTTTGTGTCTACTTGAGGGAGCCACTACAGATGCTTGGTTCAACCGTATTCTGGGTGTGTCTGTGAGAGTGTCCTGGATGAGAATGACATTGAGTCCATAGAGTGATGAAAACAAAGCGCTCCCCTGGTATGGGTGGGCCTCATTCCACCAGTTGCAGGCCTCAACAGAACAAAAAGGCTGACCTCCTAAGAGGGAATGTCTCCCATCTGACTGCCCGGAGCTGGGACATCAGTTCTTTTTCCTACCCTCAGACTTGACTGAAATACTGGCTCTTCCTGGGTCTCAAGCTTGCTGGCCTTCGGATGGGAACTGTACTATCAGCTCTCCTGGTCCTCATGCCCTCAGACTCAGAGTGGATCAAACCCCTCAGCTCTCCTGGGTCTCCAGTTTGGAGATGGACCCTGAGGATCTTGGTACTTACCCACTTCAATATCTTGTGAACCAATTCTTCATAATAAATCTCTCCCCGCCATACACATAGAGATTCTATTAGTTCTGTTCCTCTGGAGAACCCTGGCCATCACATGCTGCTTCAATGAACAAAGCATGGCAGAAGTGACACTACGAGTTCCTGGGCCAGGTCATAAACAGTTGTGCAGTTTTCACTGGTTGCACGGAATTGCTTGCTTTCAGGTGCTCCCTCCTGAAACCCAATCACCAAGCTCCGAGAAGCCCAAGCCACACACATGCCCCTCTCCCTTCTAATGAAAGCAACAGGCTCTTTTCCTCATACAACATTGTGGTTCATATCTCAGGTACTGAATATGATCAGTCCCTCACTATAGCTGTATGCTGGGTCCACATGCAAATTGCTTGAGTTCAAAGCACAGTTCTGCTATTTATTATATGTCTGAGCTTGAGAAAAGAACTTGACTTCTCTGAGTCTCAATTTCCTTGTGTGTAAAGTGGGGATAGAAATACTTATCTCATAGGGTTATTACAAGGATTCAATGATACATTTATGGGGCCGGAGCTGTGGTGCAGCGGGTTAAAGCCCTGGCCTGAAGTGCTGGCATCCCATATGGGTGCTGGTTCTAGTTCCGGCTGCTCCACTTCCGTTCCAGCTCTCCGCTATGGCCTGGGAAAGCAGTGGAAGATGGCCCAAGTCCTTGGGCCCCTGTACCCGCGTAGGAGACCTGGAAGAAGCTCCAGGCTATTGGCTTCGGATCGGCGCAGCTCTGGCTGTTGTGGCCAACTGGGGGGTGAACCAGCGGATGGAAGACCTTTCTCTCTCTCTGCCTCACCTCTTTCTGTGTAACTCTGACTTTCAAATAAATAAATAAATCTTTAAAAAAAAAAAAAAAAGAAGTGGAGCAGCCAGGACTCAAACTGGCACTCATATGGAATGCAGGTATCACAGGCACAACACCAGCCCCAAGGACCCACTTTTTATAAGCTCTTATGATTAGTGTTACCTGGCCACAGCTGATCAGATGAGGGGTTGGTACCATGGCAACCAGTAGGGAGCTGGGTACCAGGGAAGCAACTGCCTCTTAGGTTTGGTGCTAAGTTACTCAACCTGTGACTCAACCCTGTGACAAGTATTTTACACAGATCTATGCAGTGTTCCTTTGGGGAAGTAAAAATGCACAGCAACCAAATCAGTGACGGGTGGCTTCACCTCCAAGTGATTCATCACCAAGTGAGAAGCTCAGTAGTCCTCTGGGACTGCCACACTAGGGTTCCAATGTAAAAATAAGGGACCCCAAAAGTGCTGATATAACGATGTCCAGTGCTAACCCTAAGCTCCAGGCACTCTACAAGAAACCTATTATTAAAGGTCATGTGGGGGAACTTTGTTCGTGATACACTTCCGCCTGTTTAATATACACTGAAATATAAGAGGATATCCACCAACTGAGGCTGACCTCACTGGCAAAAAGAAAGAACTTAGGAAGCAAGAAGCTGCAGTTGTACTAACCTGGGCATCCTGTCTCACGAGATCATCATCCAGGTAATTCCCTTCGTCCCTGCCACCCTGAGGATGAGAAAAACAAAGGCAGTGAGAGAGGATCCAGGAAGATTTCGGGCACTGTTAAAACAGAAGGCCTGAGAACCCCAGTATTGGTAATTAGACAAGAAGCCACAGGGGTGAGACTTCAGACCTTCCTATGTCCTCTGAATGTGCGTGCATTGCAGCGTGGTTCTAATCTGTGTCTGCAGAGCATGATCAACTGGAGGATGAGCTCCACTGCGGCCCTAATGGTGCTCTGGTGTCTCTGCCATTGGACGGGGCAGGAGAATGAATGCTTCCTTTTGATTGCTCCCTCCACTAGTTCCATCCCTTTCCCACTTGTGTCCACAGCTGTGTCTTCCCAGCCGATTCACACCTTCCTAAATGGCCAATCCACATTGATCAACTTTGCCAAGAAAGGGAACATGGGAGAATCAAGAGAATTTGGAGCCTGTAGTGGGACTTGAGGTGCACCTACCCCTCACAGGAGGGTGGGGTTAGAGCCTCGGGAAAACTAGAGTGACAAAATGGGTTACTTCTGATTTGTTAGACTATTCTCATTGCTATGCGGTCTCATTATTCCATGGTCAAGGCACAGCTCATCAGAGTGGTAAATGTGGGAGGAGAAGAAAAACGAAACAGGAGGGAGATAAGAGAAGCAGGCAGGCGATATCAGAGATGAGAGCCAGGTGGAAGTTGGAGTTGATTTCCAAGGTTCTGCTTTGGATGTAAGAAGAGCAACAATAATATTAACAGAAACAGACAAGTCAGCAGGGAGAGCTGGTTTGGGAGAAAAAATGAGTTCAGGTTTAGTTTCAGAGGACTGATTTAAGGTGATGGTGGAATATCCATAGGGAAACACGTGAAACCCAGTGAGAAACAGGAGCACCCCTTCAGGAAGGAGGCTGAGGATAAAGGTGGGAAGTCATACAGAATATTCTGAGTAACCATCTTCTCTTTTCTGGCAGCCCTGCACCCATACTAGCTAGTCCTGCTTTATTTCTCACCTGGAACCATGAAGGAGCCTGCTATCATCAACCTATCACTATTACATGGCTCTGCCGAAAACGCAGCTCCAATCACACCTCGTCGCCACCATGTCACCTGCTTCTCCCAATCCTTTGGTGGCTCCCTACTGCTCTCCCAATGAAGTGTCAATGCATCCCAACACAGAATCCCAGTTCCTCCTTCCCCCTGGCTTTGACAGTTACCAGTTCAGCCGGTTGTTTCCTAAACATACCCTGGGTTTCCTGCCCCCTCGCCCAGTTGTTGTCATTCTTCCTGCTTGGAGTGCACCCACCCGCGTGTCCGCCTCATGGAATCCTAGCAATCCACCAAGTCCTCTCAGCCGGCGTCTCTGCCACAAAAGCTTTTGTTTCTGCTCCCAAAATCTCCCCTTGAGTCTTCCTCTTCCTGTGTGCCTCTCTTTTCATGCCTTAGAGTCACCTGTGTACTTGATATATTCCCTTATGACAATAGAGACTCAATGTACCAGAACTGCCTCTTAGTCATCTTCACGACTCTCCATGTCCTGAGTAATAGGAGCACCGGGCAGGTATAGTGTCCTTGTAAATACTGAATGATGTGGAACCAATGGGCGTGTGTGGCTTATCAGATTCTCCGAAGGAGGAATAAGAGAAAAGAGCAGAGAGGCTGAAGAACAACATCTGGGCAATAGGCCCAAGGGGGTGGGGGCCTGAAAGGATGAGAAAGGCTGGTGAAGGGGGCAGAACGTGAGTGCTTTGATAAAACCCATCCCCTATCAGAAGCAGCCCACAGAGGAGGCGACTCACAGCTGACAGAGACACGAGCACGCGCTGGAACATGAACGACGTGTCAGAGCAAATGTCATCTTCAAGGCTCCGGCCATATTCTATCGAGAGAGTGAAAGCAGCTACATCAGAATAAAGACTGCAGCCCAGCACCACGACACCCTCCACACTGTTCTGTCCTCTCCAAGGTCGGGAGGTTATTCACACCCCAAACAAAAGCCAAATGGGGTAAAATGGCCAAGAGAAGTCATCATAGTGGAAAAGAGACGTTCGTGTCCCTTCCCGTGGGGTGGGGGTCCTGGGCCTGAAATCCTCCCTCTCTGGTCCCTGCCGTCCAGGGTCTGTTCTGGATGTGGGTGTCAGACACGCAGAGCACAGCAGCTACTGAGGGCCACTGCTGCGTCACGGACGCGAGCAGCCAGAGCAGAGCATGAGAATCCCGTTTGGGGGAACTGGAGAGGGGCACTGAGCACACGGACCCAGCCTGTGCCCCTTCCACTGTGTCCTTCCCTTGAAAGCTGCTGAGGGTTCCCCGAGAGAAGCTCAGCTGGGTGGACACAGGCAGCGGGTACTAAATCCAGACTTGCAAGGTTAGGATCTCCTGCTCTGACACTTAGCAAAAAGCGACCGTTGTGTTTCTTCATACAAAGGTAATACATGTTGACCACTGTTGAAGGGGGGATGGCAGCAATCCACCATAATCTAATCACACAAAATAATCACTGATGGAATTTTGGTAAATATCTTTCTTCATTTCCCCCCACATACACGTATTATTTCCTTTCTTTATGAAGATGGGGTAACAGCCCCCTACATTATGATTTATCTTTTCCCCTTATTCATACACCAGATCACTTTGTGTAACTGAACAGCATTGTGTCACTATACCATATTGTGCTTAGCCAGTCTGCTGCAGCTGGATGTAGTTAGCTAATGTCAACAATCCTGAATAAACAGTCTTTTGTTATATTCTTATGGCAGAAAGGCAGTATGCATTTTTTAAAGGCCCTTCATATGTATCAACCTCTGGCAGTTTCTCAAAGGGGACTAAATGACCACAAATCTGAGACGGCTGGAGGACAGACAGTCCAGTCTGAAGGTAAGAAACTGAACCAGACAATCCTCCGGTGCATTCCTTAGAACGCTAAGATTCGCTGGTGCCACCACTGTTGAACAAGCACCTTTGATTCTTTGCTTCATTAATATGGAACAAAATTCCAACATGTAGGACAACAAAGCAGTATCTGGGTAGCCTGAGTCTTAAAAAGCCAACCCATGCCAGGGAGTTTGACTTAGGAGCTAAGACAGCTGATGCCATGTAAGAGTGCCTGGGTTTGATATCGTGCTCCAGCTTCCTGCTAATGTAGACCTGGGAGGCAGCAAGGATGGCTTAGGTACTCAGGTTCCTGCCATGTACAGGGGAGAGTCGGGTTGAGTTTTAGGATCCCAGCTCTGTCCCCCCACTGCCACCCCTGCTCTCAGCCATTGTGGGCACTTGGGGAAAGAACCAGCAGATGAGAAGCTCTGTTTCTGTCTCTCTCTATCCCTCTCTCTCTGTCTCAATCTTTCAAAGAAGTAAATATTTAAATTATTTTTGTAATCACTTAGCTTTTCTTTAAAAGATTAATTAATTTATTTGAAAGGCAGAGTTAGAGAAAGAGAGAGAGAGAGAGAGAGAGAGAGAGATCAGTCTTCCATCCACTGGTTCATTCCCCAAATGGCTGCAATGGCCAGAGCTGGGCTGATTCAAAGCCAGGAGCCAGGAGCTGATTCAAAACCAGGTCTCCCACGTTGGTTCAGGGATCCAAGCATTTGGGCCATCTTCTACTGCTTTCCCAGTAGCATTAGCAGGGAGCCAGATCAGAAGTGGAACAGCCAGGATTCGAACCAGTGGCCATACGGGATGCCATGCTGCAGGTAGCAGCGTTACTTGCTATGCCACAGCTCCAGACCAAGAAGTAAAAAAAATTTTTTTTGACAGGCAGAGTGGACAGTGAGAGAGAGAGAGACAGAGAGAAAGGTCTTCCTTTTGCCGTTGGTTCACCCTCCAATGGCCGCCGCGGCCGGAGAGCTGTGGCCGGCGCGCTGCAGCCGGCGCACTGCGCTGATCCAAAGGCAGGAGCCAGGTACTTATCCTGGTCTCCCAGGGGGTGCAGGGCCCAAGCACTTGGGCCATCCTCCACTGCACTACCTGGCCATAGCAGAGAGCTGGCCTGGAAGAGGGGCAACCGGGACAGAATCCGGCACCCCGACCAGGACTAGAACCCGGTGTGCCGGCGCCGCAAGGCGGAGGATTAGCCTAGTGAGCCGCGGCACCGGTTTAGAAATTTTTTTTTTTTTTTTTTTTTGACAGGCAGAGTGGACAGTGAGAGAGAGAGACAGAGAGAAAGGTCTTCCTTTGCCGTTGATTCACTCTCCAATGGAGAGAGCTGGCTTGGAAGAGGGGCAACCGGGACAGAATCTGGCACCCTGACCGGGACTAGAACCCGGCGTACCAGCGCCGCAAGGTGGAGGATTAGCCTAGTGAGCCGAGGCACCGGCCTAGAAGTAAATATTTTTTAAAAAAATTTTATTTAACTAATGAAGCCAACCCTGGCATCTGCCTACAGAGGGATCTGCCTCAGAGCAGTCTGAGCTCTCTCATGGTCACGTTCCTATGAAGAGACTGTGATCCGTGAATAACCACTTGTTGTTGTCAAATCACAGCGAACCCTCAGCTGGGGCCGTGGCGTGTTACTCACGCTGCTGGTAGGTCTGGTTGATGCGCCGGATCTCCTCTGGGGTCCGGGAGGCCAGGATCTCGATCAGGCAGCCCTCATCCGTGCCAGCGCCCTAAACACAAAACCAGAGGACAGAGCAGGATGAGCCCGTTTACCAAGTCCCAGACATAGCAGGGCCGTAACCCCAACTGCAGGGAAGAAGGACAACACACTGAGTTCTGGCAACTGGATTTGTTAACTTTTCGTTGTCCTAGCCCATGTCCAACAGGCTTACAGACATGTCCAGACTGTTCACTATGCCTTGGTGACACAGCCAAGTTAAGTATGGTTTCTGCTCCATGGGCCTTCATCTTTCTCTGCTCTCCCCTGTTCTCTTCTGAAGGGCAGGATCTTCTGGCAGAGGCTTTGTTACTGGCTTGTTTTCCTAGGGTCTTACCCAGAACCTCCCACAAGGCCGAGGACTGACATGGTTTGGAGGGGTAACTCTACTTGCATTCACACTGGATCACCAAAAATGGCCAGCCTCGGCCAAAGGCTCCACCTCGGGCAGATGAGGGCATCCCCAAGTGTGGGGAGCAACTCGGACTAGACTAAGTTACTGGAATTAAGACTTGTTATGTGCATCTGCTCTCCCACAATATGGCGCTGAGAAGGGAGAAACAGCTTCTACACAGCTGCCTCCAGTTCAACCAATAAACTGTAGGACTTACTCCTGATTGGAGGAGAGCAGCGTACTCGGCGTGTGGGTAGCAGAGTTGGGATTGGTGGAAGAGGACTATAAAGGAGGAGAGAGACAACATGCACCAGGAACATCTATCTGAAGGAACACCTGAGCAGCCCCCGAGAGAGCCGGCCGGTGGTGTGCCGCTCCCCCGCGGAAGTGGGGAAAGTGGCTAGGGGGAACCGCCCTTCCACGGAGGTGGAAGGGTCGGTAGCCAACCCGGGAAGAACCAGCAGCAAACCCGGGGAGGGCCGAGCAGACAAAAGAACAGCGCAGGGTCCTGTGTCGTTCCTCCACGAAGAGGGGGAGCGACATAATGGTGCCGTGACTCGGATATGAAGCCTAGGCAGGGTTTGGTGTCGTTCCTCCATGAAGAGGGGGAGCGACACCCAAGGTGTCAGTCAGAAAGTCACATATCTCCAGAGTAGCTAATACAATAAAGTTTCCGAAACTGCACCCAAAGTACAGCCATAATTACTCACTATGGAGCCACAGGAAGGAGCCAACGAATCCATAGCGTTTTGGAAAACAATGTTTATTTATTTTTTTTTTTATTTTTATTTATTTTTTTTTTTATTTTTTTTTATTTTACTTTATTTTTTTTTATTTTTGACAGGCAGAGTGGACAGTGAGAGAGAGAGACAGAGAGAGAAAGGTCTTCCTTTGCCGTTGGTTCACCCTCCAATGGCCGCCGCTGCAGCCGGCGCACCGCGCTGATCCGATGGCAGGAGCCAGGAGCCAGGTGCTTTTCCTGGTCTCCCATGGGGTGCAGGGCCCAAGCACCTGGGCCATCCTCCACTGCACTCCCTGGCCACAGCAGAGAGCTGGCCTGGAAGAGGGGCAACCGGGACAGAATCCGGCGCCCCAACCGGGACTAGAACCCGGTGTGCCGGCGCCGCAAGGTGGAGGATTAGCCTAGTGAGCCACGGCGCCGGCTCGAAAACAATGTTTAAACCGTGACTACCGCATGTCTTCAAGCCATCAGACATGAGGGAAAAGCTCTCTCCTATACTTGATTCTCCCACCACCTCTCAGAAGCTGATTGTCGTGGTCTCCTGTGTCTGCACTAACAGCCCGGGGCGGGTGTGTGTGTGTGGGTGTGTGTGTGGTGACAACGAACCTTCAGGGCCTTTCGCAGCTCCTGCACGTCGTAGAGCACGGTGGGCATCATCATCCCCACGATCACTTGCTCGAAGTTGCCGCTCAGTTCTGACTTCAAGTCATCTACGAGGTCCTGTGGTTCAAGAAAGGCGCTCGGCTGAGTCGCTGGGGCGATTTAAACCAGCCACTCCCCAAGTGGGGGCCAGGGACGTCTGGGGGCTCCAACACCTCCAGGGGGCCAACGAGGTCAAAGAGGTCTTCATAAATACACCAAGACATCATTTGCTTTTTCATGCTCATTCTCTCCCATGCATATGGTGGAATTTTTCTAAGACTACTCAACAAATCTATATATGTACCATCTATATACATACAATTAAGTCAAAAGGCTACAAAAATACTCCCCACTTTTCCAACTCTACATATATCCATGACAAACTTTTCTTCAAAAACCTCAATGATAATTCCTAATGCAAAAGCAGATATGAAAATCCAGCTGTCTTCTATTAAGGCAGATATTAAGGAGATTGCAAAATGTAAGACACTGCCAAGTTTCTCACTAATTTTTTTTGGTTTTGGCATATAAAGCTATTTTTCATAAAATATTACAGCAGCATGTAATACATTTATGATTTTTAAGTAAAATACATATTTGCAAATGCCACTTTTAATAAATGTTTATTTATTTTCAACTATTTGAAAGGCAGAGAGACAGAGAGACATAATCTTCCATCCAACGGTTCACTCTGCAAATGCCCATAACAGCCAGAGCTGGACGAGGCCAAAGCCGGAGCCTAGAACTCTGTCTGTGTCTCCCAAGTAGGTAGCAGGGGCCCAAGCATTTGGGCCATCGTCTGCTGCCTCCTAGGATGCAGGACCAGGAAGCTAATGGAGTAGCTGAGACTTGAACTGGCACTCTGGGGGCATCCCGAGTGGTGGCTTACCCTGCTGCAACACAAAGTCTGTCCTAAATGTCTTTGGTTTTAGTTTCTAATACGGTAACTGTTGATAGGTACAATTTATGAAACAGAAAAAGTCCTCTGTAACTGAAGAATAAAAGGAGCCCGGAGGTCAAAACATTTGTAGATGCTGACTGCAAATCTGTATTTGCTTCCTTAACAATATATCCTGAATGTATTTTCCAGTCCATATTTACCTATGACATTTTTAACAGCTGCAGATGTTTCTATAGGTAAGATGCAGTATAATTTCTTTATCCAGTCATCTGTTTCTTTATTTCTACTATAATGTATACAAGGCATTTAATTGTATCCTTGTGACTATTTTTGATTATATCTTAAGGCTCCTTTCCTAAAATTAAATGTAACTATTAAGACAAATAATCAAATTCTAATGACATTTATCATATATATTTTTATTTTTAATTGGCACATAATAATTGCACATTTTGGTAGTACACAGTGTGGTGTTTCAATATTTGTACACTATGTGCAACAATCAGACCAGGGTAATCAGCACTTTCATCACCTCAAACATTTCTCATTTCTTTGTGTTGGGAACATTCAAAATCATCTTCACTAGGAATTTCGAGATATACAAGTGTTTTACACCAGTTACCTTTCTGTGCTATAGAATGTTGGAAGTTATTCTTCCTGACCAATTGCACTCCTATACCCATTAAACATTCTCTCTGCATCAAAGGTATTTATTCACTTCACATCTCCTCAGAATTTAAGAACCTGCTTAAGATCCACCAACTAAAAAGGAGCTGAAGGTGTCAGTGCAAGTACTTAGGCCCCTGCCATCTACATGGGAGACCTGGATGGAGTGCCAGGCTCCTGGCTTCAGCCTGGCTCAGCCCTGGCTTTTGTAGGCATTTGGGGCAGCAAACCAGCAGATGAGTGATCTAACTCTGATGGCCTTTTTCTCTCTCTAAAAATTAAAAAAAAAAAAAGTAAAGAAAATGGAGCTGAGCTACTATCCAAATCCAGGTCTGTGATTCCCATAAACCTGATTCCACAACATTTCCTATCAACTTACTGTGCATATTTTAAAGTTACATCCATCTTCTAATGAACGGGCAGATGGATGACTGAATGAGTGCTCAGTTCTTTAATGTTGGCCATCTTAATATACTTCCACCAGATTAGTTTTAATTCTGAAGCTAAATAGCAATCCTAAAGATAACAGGCAACATCGATTAGATCTCTAGTTTATGTATTTCATGCATGTTCTGCCAATTAGTGCTTATTCAATTTCACTGGGAACAGAGAAGAGTTGAAAATATCCAGCAAATAGTCTGAGCATTTCTGATCTTAGGAGCTCCATGGCCTACATGCAGGTGCTCTGGGCAACAGCTGAGCTGGCCCTCCCCTATCCAGCAGCTTATTGCATGTCCCTGAGAAGTACCTTAGTCCAACAGGTTATAAAGTATTTCAAGAATAAAAATGTTTATCATAGACTTACTGTACTGTAAGACCTGGAGACACTCACTGGTAAGGTTTCCTCAATAAAAAGATTCTCATTGACCACACAGATGGGTTTTCAGTGATGTGTAAACATTGGGTAGGAAGATTCTGGTCAGGAGACTAAACAGAAGGTTCCTAAGAGGTGAGGGAACACCCTTGGACTGCCTAAGCTACTATCTATACTACCTGTGAGCAAACACCCAGACACAGACACATCAGCTACCACATGCATATTCCTACAAGGATACACCCATCCATAAACACATAAAGTGCATTCCAGACTCGAGGGGTGTCCCCAATAGAGGCTCATCAAAGCAGTAAATGTATGTACAAATGGGTTCATGTGGATGTGTCAGAATAGACACCAAATCCTAGGACAGCCTACTGAAAACAAACTGGATTTAAATACTTTAGTCAGTTTGGCAAGACTGAATCTATAGTGGCCTAAAAGAAGTCATCGGGGCCAGAGAAGTAGCCCTAGAAACCCAGCCTTGCCTAGTGCTCAGAAGGGTGGTGGTGGAACCCAGACAATTAACAAGGGCCTGCAAGGACTTGGAAGGAAAGGGGCTCTGAACAATCAAGAGCTCCCTGAAGTCAATGCATTCAAATCATTTTGGTTTCTGTTTTCAAGAACGTCTTTAAACAAGACAAAGGACCCAGCTTTCAAAGCACAGGTCCACTGCACACATCTTGATCCCGGGAGAGGTCGGGACAAATCCCTGACCCCCTACCCAGGGCAGGAGAACCTGAGCCTACCCTGCCGATGGTGGACTTGTAGGCTGTCCTGATTTCCTGGCGCTGGGCGGTGTTGCGGTAGGCAAGGACTTGAATGATGGCGTCCTCATCGGTGCCTGCAGAGAAGAGTGAGAAGGTGGGAGGCGGTGGGTGAGAGGACCTGAGAGAGGAATGAGAAGGTGGCGGTTTCTGTGGACACTGGAGTTCCCAAACACATGCTGCGAGCTTGCTAAGAGGGCTTGTCTGTTTTATTGGGAAACAGAGGCCAGAGGGCTGCCTTCATCTCTCCTTGAATTAGCTGTTCACCACCACAGACAATACCATGGGCAGCTTCTCCAAATGTGAATGATGACAGCACTTTCCCTGTAGGACTGCTGCAAGTGTTAAATAAAATCATTAAGTGAATTACTCAGCGCAATGCCCAGCGCTCATTAAGATTCTATAAATGTTGACTGGGATAATTCTTCCCCACTCCTGGAATTCTACTCATGTCTTTTGGGTCACCTATCATCTGTCTTGCCCTTTCTTGCCTGTTCTCTCTTACTCATTTCCTCTGAGTTTTGAAACAACTCAAACATGTCTTTAATTCACTGCTTTTCAGATTAAATTGGCAGCTCCCTGCATGCATAAGTGTTTTCTTTAAGACATTTTTTATAAAGAAAATAAATGTATTTCTTACAGTTTGGGAGGCTGGTAGGCCCAGATTGAGGGGGCCACAGCTGGTGGGGACCCTGCAAAGTCCCACTGTCTGGGGGCATGCCATGGTAAGGCAGCGCAGGCTGCTCCACTCACAGTATTTTAAAATCTGTAATTGTGTTTTTCACCTCCAAGTATCTTTCCCTATCTCAGATGGTTCCCTTTGTATAACCACGGGCAACTCTCCATGACACAACATCCTTCCAAAACAAAATTACAAATTGTGAAAATTGGCAATAAATAAATAAATGACAAATGCAAGATTGTAAAAAAAAGAAAGAAGGAAAGAAAGAAAGAAAAGAAAAGAAAATTGGCCTGTTTCTTGCAGCAGCTTTTACCAAGGGAACTTTATTCTGATTGTTCAGCTTTTGCCCTCATCTTTCTAACAGTTGGATGCGCAAATATATGAGTTTGTGCTGGATGGGAAGCTGTTGTGGACTAAAGTGATTCTACTGAAATATTTCTGGGAGACATGAAAAAAAACATAGGTTCATCATAATTAGAGACACAGAAAAACGTGCAGGGTAGGGAGAAGGCTATGGAATTTTAAGTTTACACACCTTTGGGGCCTACTGTCTGTCTTTATGAAAAAAGAGAGAGGGTAGGTACAACCCTCCTTTTCTCCTTCAGAATTCTCTGCTGGGGGAGAAGGTTCTGGACTCATGACCTTTTGCTCACCCTGTTTTTGTGAAAGGTACCACCCTTCCTCCAGTCAACCAAATTTGAACCTCAAAATAGCTTTGATTTTTTTACCCTTTCCCTTGATCCTCACTCAAATTTCCTGCCAAGTCCTACAAAATCTTGCTCTGTAGCCTTTTCTGTCCCCCCTGTAAATTCCTACCCACTCCAGCTCAGGGTTCAGGGTTTCTTCTTAGACAAGTGCAGAAGTCCACTAAGCCACATTCTTACCTCCTAATTGGTCTGCCCAGATTCCTGCCAGATGCCTCCTCCCAAAAAGAAAAGCTCTCACAGTGTGCCTGCCTTGCTCAAAGACGCACAATGGCTTCCTAGGCTGTGCTGAATGGGCACAGCACTCTGACATCCAAGACTCCCACTCCTGATTGCAAGCATCCACATAAACGGATACCAGGCAGCCAGATTCACAGACTGAGCTCCTGAATCCTGGTGCTTTACCCACTCATACTGCCCTCCATTCTCCACCGAGCACTTTCATTAGCAGCTTGAACCCTGCCACTTAGCGTCACAGTTCTGGCATTTGTTGTTCCCTGGCCAGGCCTCTGGGACATCTGTGTGCTTCTGCAGGTGGCATTCTCAGTGGCACCCCACCAACCTCCCTCTGGAATTTGCCTTCTCAGAAAGCTCCCAAGCTGCCTACTGCTGCCCTGTTAGAACCTCCTACTGCACAGTAGCTGGCCTCCTATCCATGGGTTTCTTTTGGATTCAACCCACCATGGATCAAAAATATTAGGAAAAATAGTCATGTCTGTTCTAAACAAATACAGAGTTCTTTTTTTTTTTTTCTTGTCATCCACTAAACAAGACAGGATAACAATTATTTACATAGCATTTGTACTAGGTATAAGTAATCTAGAGATGATTTAAAGTATATGGGAGGGGCCGGTGCCGTGGCTCAATAGGCTAATCCTCCGCCTGCGGCGCCGGCACACCGGGTTCTAGTCCTGGTCGGGGCTCTGGATTCTGTCCCAGTTGCCCCTCTTCCAGGCCAGCTCTCTGCTGTGGCCCGGGAGTGCAGTGGAGGATGGCCCAAGTGCTTGGGCCCTGCACCCGCATGGGAGACCAGGATAAGCACCTGGCTCCTGCCAGATCAGCAAGGCGGCCATTGGAGGGTGAACCAATGGCAAAAAGGAAGACCTTTCTCTCTCTCTCTCTCTCTCTCTCTCTATCCACTCTGCTTGTAAAAAAAAAAAAAAAGTATATGGGAGAATTGTACCAGTGATATGCAAATACTGCGCCATTTAACATAAGGGACTTGAGCATCCATGGATTTTGATATCCATGGTAGATCCTGGAACCAATCCCCACTGACACCCAGGAAGAACTATACACCACAACTCCCTGTAGCTTCAGCGTGTGCTATTCCACTCACCTGAAATACATTCTCTCTTAACTCTGCTGAAACTCCACTCATCTCCCAAAGCCATCTCGAATTCTACATCCTCCGAGAAGTTTTGCCAGACTCCCCCAAATGAAATGTGATCTCTTCTCTTTGAACCCCAATGGGATCTTGTTTGTGCCTCCCTCTCAGGATCACATTGTGAGCAGGTCACAGTTCAGCTCTGCACAGGTCCTAGCTATGCTTGCCTTGTGGACTCTGACCGCCAGCACGAGGTCTTACAATCCCCATCTCCTCCTAGAGTCCAGCTCATACCGGCCCATGTACAGCAGGCACTGCATAAGGCTGCTTCTGACAAATGTCTCCTGACTCTTGTTTTGAGAATTCTGAATGCCATGTAATATACATACGGAATTATAGTGTCCTTGCTATGAAGCACAAAATTGGGAAAAACCAGAAAACTAAAAACTGGTGGGTCCAATGTGTTCTCCATTTTGTTTATGAGAGAGAGAGAGAGAGAGAGAGAGAGAGAGAGAGAGAGAGAGAGAGAGAATGAGAAGGATGCAAGCATTTAGAGCAGCGTTGTGTTCAGAGGTTGGCAATAGCACGTACTGGCTACAGCTGCAGCTCTGGAGTTGGGCTACCTTGAATCCTGGCTCTACCACTTCCTAGTTCCTAGTTCTGAGACCTTGGGCAAGTTAGACACCCTCCTCACACCTGGGTTCTCAGCATACAACAAGCTGCTGTCAGGGTTAAAACATGCAACAGAAAAGCATCTAATCTTCATGCCTGACACGTAGCAGAGCTTAATAACTGCTGGCTATTATTGATTCTGCAGTTGTTGGTGTCAGCAGAATTAAGGCTACGTAAAATAAATCCTCTGGATAGAAAGACAGGGAAATGAGGCCTCATGCTAAGTGTATTTGTCCCCATCTCAAGGAGATTCTAAATAGTAGCCACTTCCCTGGCCCAAGGCCTACCTGGGCAAGGTGTTGGAGGCAGGGAGTAGGCCAGAGCAGACTGCAGAGCCATCCCAGCAGGAGGCCTTTAGCCCTTAGGAAGCTAACTGAGGGGGGAGAGTCCTGGAAGACCCTTCTCACACAGAATCCCACAGGCTGCATGCCGGTGCTGTCGCAGCTGTGCCCATCACGGCAGCAGAAAGCAGAGGGACTGAAGGGGAAGAAGGTGGACTCAGAGCCGGCAGGCCTGGGCCTGAGACTGGGTTCTGCCGTGTGTGAGCCAGGACCAACTTACTAGGAGCCTTTTGTGAGAGCTGCTTGGCTCCTCTGGGTCTGTTTCACACCTGTGAAATGAGACTAAAATAACCAGAGCAACAGCCTCGTTCCCTAAACCGCAGGGTTGTCTCACATCCAATGAGATGATGTTTGCAGAAGTGCTCTGTCAATCTTACAGCTGTGCACACAGCTGTACACATTGCTGCACTCACTGGAAAACAACTACTAAAAAATCTAAAGTTTAAGAAGGTTCACGATGTCATAACTCAAAGCAGATTTAAACAGCTGGGGAAATCCATAACAGGTGCTTTAAATTTAAAGCTCTTCACTAAAGTGAAAATGTAATTCATGCCTTCCCATCCAACTGGTCTTGAAAAGCCAACTTGTTCCCACTGTGTTTTCTTAAAAGCAGCCCTACTCACAACTACCCACGGACACGGCAGCCTCCCCTGGGCCCCTGCGACCCACCTGCAGCGGAACACTTACCGAGTCCTTTCATGGCCTTCCGCAGGGCCTGGGCATCTTCGGCAGCGTTGAATCCTGAAGCAGCTTTGATGGTCCCTCCTTTGGATGCCTGAGTACACGGAGAGTGACGTGACTGAGAGCAGCATCTGACCTCCCAGGTGGCAAACCTTCCCTGAGCCCCTCCACGGCCGACACCATTCCAGGTGCTGGAGATGCTCCGTGACCACGAGACACGAGGACCTTGCTCCCAGCGAGCAGCTGCTGTAGTTGAGAGGGAGGCAGTGCACAAGCCACAGATACATGCTCTGTAAGTGCCTGGTGGTGGGAGGTGCTGCAAAGCCGATGGAGAGGTCCTTAGAGGGGCTGCTCTGAAGAGTGAACCTCATGCTGGGAGCTGAGCCACCCGAAGCAGCTGACCATGCAGAGACAGAGGGCAAGTGTTACAGGCAGAGCTGACAGTCATGGCTGCAGCGGGTGGGTCAGAGGCCAGGGTGGCCCAACTTGGTGGGCAAGGAGGGCAGTGGTAACATTAGTTACACCCCCATCTACCAAGCAATCCTGTTCCCCCACAAAAGGGAAAAAAATTAAACCGGAATCCAATAAAGGCACTAGAGCTAAAAACCCACTTACAGTAAACAGAGAGGAAAATGTTAAACCATCCTACAGTGTTGCCATCAGAAAATCCAGACTATAAGCAATACTATTTAACAAATAATCCTGTTTCTCCAACAAATACAATGTAGAGGGAATTTAAAAAGAAACAGAGGGAGCTGCAGTTTAAAAGAGATGAAAAAGTCCTATCCATGATCATATGTGAACTGTATTCAGATCCTTAATCAAACACAGACATTTATGAGACAATTGGAAATTTGGACACCAAGTTGAGATTTGATGATATTGAGGAATCAATCTCAACATTTTTAGATATGAGAATGATACTATCATTGTATTTTATATTTTAAGAGGCTTATACAGATTTAAAATAGTTTATGGCTGAAATGATAAGATGTCTGACTTTTTTTCAAATTAACACAAGTGGGAGGAGAGGTAAGTAAAGAAGAAATAAGATTGACCGTGAGTTAATAATTATTGTTAGGCACACAAAGGAGTTCTGTTTACTTTTGTATATGTTTAAACTTTTCCATAATAAAAATTGAAAATTTAAAAAAAGAGAGGGGCAGGTGTTGCAGTGCAGTAGTTAAAATACCACTTGGGATGTTGGCGTCCATATCAGAGTGCCTGAATTTCAGTCACGGTTCCACTTCCAATCCAACTTCCTCCTAACGTGCACTCTGGGAGGAGCAGGTGATGGCTCACATGGTTGGGTTCCAGGATCCTGGCTGACCTAGCCCAGCCCTGAGTGCTATAATCATTTGAAAGTAAATCAGTGGATGGAAGAGCGCTCTCTCATGTGTGTGCGTGTGCACACATTATGCCTTTCAAAAATAAAAAGATAAAACAAATAAGGCCGGCGCCGCGGCTCACTAGGCTAATCCTCCGCCTTGCGGCGCCGGCACACCGGGTTCTAGTCCCGGTCGGGGCGCCGGATTCTGTCCCGGTTGCCCCTCTTCCAGGCCAGCCCTCTGCTGTGGCCAGGGAGTGCAGTGGAGGATGGCCCAGGTGCTTGGGCCCTGCACCCCATGGGAGACCAGGAAAAGCACCTGGCTCCTGGCTCCTGCCATCGGATCAGCGCGGTGCGCCGGCCGCAGCGCGCCGGCCTCGGCGGCCATTGGAGGGTGAACCAACGGCAAAAGGAAGACCTTTCTCTCTGTCTCTCTCTCTCTCACTGTCCACTCTGCCTGTCAAAAAAAAAAAAAAATAAAAAAATAAAAAAAAAAAATAAAAAGATAAAACAAATAGATAAAACCTTTACTTTAAAATAATGCAAGAAAGAAAATTAGAGAAGTGGCAGGCAGCCCTTCCAAGCTAGTTAAGGAGTTTGTATTTTACTCTAAGTGCAGTAGGAAGCCACTGATTCGTTTCAAGCAAGAAGATGGGGACACTGGGGCCTGATTCACACATTCAAAAGATCACTTGGGCTGCTGTGGGGGAGAGGCAGAGACCAGAGAAGAGTCTGGGCCAAGATCTGGGGGTGGGATCAATGCCAGATGAGGGCGGAGTGGGTGAGATGGAAATCAAGACTCAGCACGTGTTTGGGAGCAAAGGCGACGGAGCTTACTGATGGACTGGTGTGGGAGGTGAGGAGAGAAGCAGCAAGTCGGACTCTATGGCCTTTTCCCTGAGCAGCTTGAGTGCAGAAGGGGATCGTTTGCCCAGATGGGGAAAACTGCAGGAGGACTACCAGATCTGGGGTGGCAGTGGGATGTGATTTAGAAGTCCTGCTTTCCAAATGTTGAGTTTAGGAAGTCTATTAAATATCCAAGTGGAGCTATCAAAGGCACAGCTGGTTATACAATTCAGAGTCAAGTCTACATGACAAAGGTGGGCTGCATCAGCGTTTGGATGGTATTGGATGAGATGGCCTAGGGAGCAAATGAAGATAAAAAAGGACAGGATCCTAGGATGATCCTGGGACTCTCCAACAGTTAGGTCCAGCAAAGAAAAGATGACTGAAGACAGCAGCCTTGGAGGTAAGAGGCAAACCAGGGCAGTGTGCTGTCCAGAGGCTGGGGAAGGAGGGCATGGCCAGCACCTGCTACAGTGAGATGATTTGGAAGGAGTAGAGACACCAGAGTGGAACAGACCTGGGTTTGAATCCTGACTTCAACCTTTTTCAACTGTGTTACTTAAGCAAGTTTCGTTTTTCTCACCTATGTATTGGAACTTATGATATCAATGCATGCATTGTTATAATAATGAAGATAATACAGGAAAGCACTTAGCATAAGACCCAGAACAAAGTAAAACAAAAACTCAAATTAGATGGCTATCATCATCATTAAATATGAGTTCAACCACACTACCATAATAAATATTGATAGTGAGATTCTTTTATCTATTATAATATAATTTAATGCAACTGGATAGACTATGACAAGGCAGATTCTAGGAGAGGGCATTTATACAAGGTGGCAAAAACAGTGTAGAATGGAGCTAAAGCATTCTGGTGATTTAACTTCATCCAAGGATGTACAAAGGCCGTCTAAAGGAATGGAGGGTTTTCATCTCCTTAGGGCAATCCTCCAGTGAGCCAGATTTGAGCTGACTGTGTTAGTCCACTGTGGCCCGGATGTCTCTGACTTACTATGTCCACATGAAGCCCATGCACGTAGCAGGTACAGCAGGGGAGTGGGCCTTCTCTGCTGAAATACTGTCAAGTGTTCTCGCACAGGTGCATTCAGCGTTCAGTGCTTGGTGGTCCCTCTCTCTACGCTTGATGGAGAAAGGAAGAGATCTGTGACCTCAACCTCTCTGGGTGCTGTGATCACTTGAAAAATATCCCCCAGCCCCAAAATGCGTGTTGAAATCCTAAATCACGGGACTGCAAAATGTGACCTTATTTAGAAACAGGGTCATGGCAGAGATGTAGTCAGTTAAGATGAGGTCACACAGGAGGCGAGTGGGCTTCTAATCCAGTATGAATGGTGTCCTTGTAAGAAGACAGCAGTGTGAAGAGAGACACGTGGCGAATACCACATGATGACAAAGGCAGAGACCAAAAGGATACAGCAGCAAGCCAAGGCACGCCTAAGTTTGCCTGCAAGCCACCAGAAACTAGCGAGAAGCAAGGACAGGTTCCTGTAGAGTTTTCAGAGGGGCATGATGCTGCTGATGCCTTGACTTTGGATTTCTGGCCTTCAGAACCATGAGGTAATAAATTCCTATTTTAAGCCACCCAGTCTGCGGTACTTTGGATCAGCAGCCCTGGAAAATGAATGCAGCAACTTTACTTTTCTTCCTCTACAATAAGCAAATTGGTGATTTGCTGTCAAAATTCCAACATGGCCTTTGGCCTCGCCATGAGACAGCTTTCTGAGCTGAATGCTTCACAAGGTTGTTTGGAACTCTAGTACTCAAAAATTTTGGATTGTACTCAAACACTTAAAGCCAACTGCATTGCTGAAGGATTAAATCAATATCTAACAAAGATGAACCAATAGAGGGATTCGCAAGGGTGGTACAGTCTATCAATTAGCATTCTCCATGACTCTTTTTACCTGGAAAAAGGTCAAGAAATGTTAACCTTGCAAACCCTATATTGGTTAATCTACTACTGTCCATTTTGGAAGACAAGTCATTCCATCCCAGTAAAGCCCACTGTGATAAGAGGCAAGGGAAACAGAGGGGATGTGGGAAAGAAAGACAAAAATGAATAGCTATGGGGCTGGCATTGTGGCGCAGCAGGTTAAAGCCACGGCCTGCAGCACTGGCATCCCATTCGAGCACCAGTTCAAGTTCTGGATGCTCCACTTCTGATCCAGCTCTCTGCTAATGCACCTGGGAAAGCAGAAGAGGATGGCCCAAGTGCTTGGCACCCTGCACCCACGTGAGAGACCCAGAAGAAGCTCTTGGCTCCTGGCTTTAACTTGGCCCAGCCGGGTTGTTGAGGCCATTTGGGGAGTGAACAAGCTGATGGACGATCTCTCTCTCTCTCTCTCTCTCTCTCCTTCTCTTTCTCTATAACTCTCTCAAATAAATAAGTAGGTCTTTTTTAAAAAAATGAATATCTATTACAATTGATAAAATACCACTGTTTATTAATGATAAAAATAATAAATGGGGGCCGGTGCTGTGGCTTAGCGGGCAGGGCCACAGCCTGCAGTGCCGACATCCCATATGGGCACTGGTTCGAGTCCAGGCTGCTCCACTTCTGATCCGGCTCTCTGCTATGGCCTGGGAGGGCAGTAGAAGATAGCCCAAGTCCTTGGGCCCCTCCAACCACGTGGGAGACCCGGAAGAGGCTCCTGGCTCCTGGCTTTGGATCAGTGCAGCTCCGGCCATTATGGCCAACTGAGGAGTGAACTAGCAGATGGAAGACCTCTCTATCTCTCCCTCTCTCCCTGTGTAACTCTTTCAAATAAATAAATCTTTAAATAAATAAATAAATGTCAGAAAAACTGGAATGGAATCCAGTAGGATATTAATGAGTACTAAAAAAGCAATGGGAGAACAAACTATGGATACATCATGAACTGCAAAAAAAGTATATGTTCAGAGAAAGAAGCCAAACACAAAAAAGTACATACTGTATGATTGCACTACAGGATTCCATAGAGCAAGCTAAACTGATCTGTGTTGACAAGAGATAGCCGTTGGGTTTCTGGGTAGAGAACAGAGTGGGGACAAACCTGAGAGGCATGTTGAGGAGTTTCCAAGGGTGGGCATACATCCTTTCTTGATGGAAGGACACATTGCATGGTATACAAATGTGAATATGTTTGTCAAAACTCAACTACCAGCCACCTTAAGGCCTGTGCATTTTACTATATGCAAATTACACCTTTGTAAAAAAATTTTTAAGATTTTTGAATACATGGCCTTTAAAACATAAGGTTATTGTAGGGAATTTGAAATTTAAAAAAATTAAGAAAATTAAACACCCATAACTGCCATCTGGAGTAAACAAACTGTAAGATATAATATAAGCATATATATCATAAAGGTTATTAGATAAAGCATAAATTTAGGATGAATTATAATATTTGTATCCTACTTTACTTACTGCATTCTTTTTTTTTTTTTTTTTTTTTTTTTTTTACAGGCAGAGTGGACAGTGAGAGAGAGAGACAGAGAGAAAGGTCTTCCTTTTTGCCGTTGGTTCACCCTTCAATGGCCGCCGCGGCTGGTGCGCTGCGGCCGGCGCACCGCGCTGATCCGATGGCAGGAGCCAGGAGCCAGGTGCTTTTCCTGGTCTCCCATGGGGTGCAGGGCCCAAGCACCTGGGCCATCCTCCACTGCACTCCCTGGCCACAGCAGAGGGCTGGCCTGGAAGAGGGGCAACCGGGACAGAATCCGGCGCCCCGGCCGGGACTAGAACCCGGTGTGCTGGCGCCGCAAGGCGGAGGATTAGCCTAGTGAGCCGCGGCGCTGGCCCTACTTACTGCATTCTAAGCATTTTCCTTTCTTTTTTTTTTTAAAGACTTATTTATTGGTGCCAGAACTGTGGCATAGTAGGCTCAGCCTCCATCTGAAGGGCCAGCATCCCATATGGGCACCAGTTCATGTCTCAGGCTGCTCCTCTTCCAATCTAGCTCTCTGCTGTGGCCTGGGAAGGCAGCAGAGGATGGTCCAAGTGCTTGGGCCCCTGAGCCCACGTGGGAGATCCAGAAGAAGCTCCTGGCTCCTGGCTTCGGATCAGCTCAGCTCTAGCTGTTGCTGCCATTCGGGGAGCAAACCAGTGGATGGAAGACCTTTCTTTCTCTCTCCCTCTATGTCTATGACTCTACCTCTCAAATAAATAAATAATTTTTAAAAAGATTTATTTACTTATTTATTTGAAAGGTGGAGTTACATAGAGAGAGGGAGAAACAGACAGATCTTTCATCTGCTGGTTCACTTCCCAAATGGCCATAATGACCAGGGCTGAGCCAGGAACTCCATCTGGGTCTCCTACATGGGTGCAGGGGCCCAAGCACTTGGGCCATCTTCCGCTGCTTTCTCAGGATCATTAGCAAGGAGCTGGGTGAGAAGTCAAGCAGCTGGGACTCAAATCGGAGCCCACAGAGACGCCCGTGTCACAGGCGGCAGCTCAACCTGCTGAGCCACAGTGCCGGCTCCTCCAAGCATTTTCCTGTACTTAAGAAGGGGGAGAAGGGGGAGCAGAACATGAAACTGTTCTCTTTACCACTATTTAAATATATTATACCTATGAGTAGCGTCTATAATAAAGTGATGGAAAACAGTTGGAATTTCAATATTGCAACTATGTCAGGCTTTATGACCATTTGAAAGTTTACATCGTGAGGCTGAACATCTTTTCATTTGATTACCGTTTATAGCCCTTGCCTATTTTCCTGCTGACTATGGTCCTTTTCCTTTTTGTTACTGAACTCTATTTAGTTGATCCAAGAAGACTTTGATTATAATGTAAATTAAACATGTTATCTCAAGGGGCTGGCATTGTGGCACAGTAGGCTAAGCCTCTCCCTCTGGCGCCGGAATCCCATATGGGTGCTGCTTCATGTCCTGGAAGAAGCTCCTGGCTCCTGGCTCAGATCAGCCCAGCTCCAGCCATTGTGGCCATTTGGGGAGGGAACCAGCAGATGCAACATATTTCTCTCCATCTCTCCCTCTGCCTGTAACTTTGCCTCTCAAAAAATTCAATAAAATCTTAAAAAAAGAATATTATCTCAAAAAATTAATAAAATATTCAGTTTTAAAGAAAGAAAAAAGATTAGAAGATAGGATTTGGGATGTTTTTGCCATAAAGAAATGTTAAATGTCTGAGGAGACAGATATATTTAACCTGATAGGACATTATGCAATGTATACATGTATCAAAACAGCACACTGCACCCCATAAATAGATCCCATTTAGATAGGTCTTAAACATTTTATGCCTAAAATAAAAACTGTCAGTTAAAAAATGTCCTTTATCTGTCCCAATAAATAACTGTCTTAATGGAGAAATGGATTCTGTGAGGACAGCTGAGAGCACTGAGGGGTTTTGCTTCGTGGATAGCACACCACAGGGTCCCCCGCCACAGTCTTCACACGCAGGGAGGTCACAGGCTTGTGGAAGTCAGGAAGAGCATCCCATTCATTCTGAGCTCCCAGAAGCTAGTCCCATGGGCAGCGCAAGCAGGGCCACCATCAGCATTTCTGAATGTATCGTCTCGTGTGCAGGGAGAATCAATCAACAAGAGGTAGATTTTAAATAACACACAAGAGATTTTAGGCAGACTTGAATAAGTTCTGACCGTCAGGTATTGTGCAGGGAAATCTAGAGTGTTTCACGTGAAAAGAAAATTGTAAGAGTATATTACTGTTTGTTCCGCATAGTTTACTTTACACATCCATCTTCCAAAAGGAAGGCATCTATGGTTGGCAGGACAGCAGTTCCTCTCCAGGACTAGGATTCTACGTCCATTATTGCTTCCCAAAAGAGTGGGGTCAGGAGTCAGCTGCCTACCCAGACGCCCTCTCCGGTGGGAGGACAGGGAGCAGATGGCCTGCCTTAGAGGAGCTGTGTTTGCACCTCAGAGGCTCAGCTTCCACCTCAGCACTGAACTTCACAGAACTCTCAGAGGGATCCAATTCCAAACCCATTCCAAAGATCAGACAACCAAGATCTGAGACTCCTGGTCTCAGTGGAAAGCAGGAGGGGGCCCGAGGAGCCTGCGTCACCAGGAAACCTCTCTCTGGAAGAGGCCGACACAACGGGCTTCTCCAAAGTGTCCCCAGCAGTCCCGTCTGGGAGGCAGAAGCCACAGGAGTGGGAGTTTTTCCTTTTTATTTGCCTAAATGTTCTAAAATGAACACGCAGCATTCTGCACAGACAAAACTGTAACTTGTATTCTCAGGATAGTAAAAGGATTTTCTCTTTGAACTGATTTTCAGGGTCAGGTTACTCACTACCCTTGAAAGAATTAAAATAGTGTGAAGAAAAAAAAAAAGAACAAGAAGCTATATTTTTCATGTCCCCCACCCCCACCACAGCTAAGCAAACAGCCCTTTGTTTAAACCAACAGTCCCTGGGTACACATCCTGTGCTTGTCTGCACCTGGCACCGGGAGGGTGAGGCACCCCACAGCTTACCATGGCCGTGATGCTATACTGAGATCAGAGTTCAGTCAGCCAAGCAGAAGATCTCTGTGAACAAAGCAGAGGGGAAATTACTGGAATGAGGGAAGTGGCATTAAAATCATTAATCAGGATAGCTTGCAGTTTGCAGGAAGATAAGCTAAGGGGAAATGACACACAATTTTATCAACAGGTCAGCTATTGATTAGCCAAAGAAACAAAGGCTAGGCTAATCATTAAAGAGGAACTGCTGTAACAGTCAAATTTATCATATCAGCAAAATACTCTCCTACTGGCTCTTCTGTTTGGACATACACCCTAGAGAAAGGATTCCTACAGCTTTGTTAGGGTACTGAAGACAGACATGGATTCTGAAGTACATGCTATAGTGGGTCAGAAGAGGTGCCCCTTGGAGAAGACCCATGCCATGTATGTGTTTATGTGCATGTTCGTGTGTGTATGTGTGTGTGTGTGTGTGTAGACAGGCTGGGAGCCCAATAAACATTAGAATCTTTTCATCTCCCACTGGCTCAGGATTAAAAATGCTTCTTCTCTGTCGGCTGTGGCCATATACAATCAGCTTCATCCTCAGCTTCCAGCACTACCCCTTTACCGCATCAAGAAGGCTTGAATCATCACATATTTTTTCAATTATTCAGAATGCAAGAAATATTTTCATTGTAGATCAGGGCTCTTACGGGGTCCTCATGATACATAGGCATGTGAGGGGCAAGCCAATGGCCTCTTTCTCCAGATCTAAGTCATACAAACAAGGCTCCTTTTCTAAGCCATTCAGTAGATCCTTGGGTACACAGAGTCATCCTAGAACCAGAAGTAGGCAGCCCTGGGTGCTTGTTAAAGACACATAATCTCTGGGGCAGGTGCTGTGGTGTAGTAGGCAAAGCCTCCACCTGTGACACAGGCATCCCATATGGGCACCGGTTCTAGTCCCGGCTGCTCCTCTTCCAATCCAGCTCTCTGTTGTGGCCTGGGAAAGCAGTAGAAGATGGCCCAGTGCTTGGGCCCCTGCACACGTGTGGGAGACCCAGTAGAAGCTCCTGGCTCCTGGCTTTGGATTGGCTCAGCTCCAGCCATTACAGACATTTGGGGAGTAAACCAGCAGGTATAAGACCTTTCTCTGTATCTGTAACTCTGCCTCTCAAGTAAATAAATAAATCTTTTTAAAAAGTTAGGAATAGATTTTTTAAATAAAATACATAATCACAGGCCCCATCACAGACCTCCTGCCAGAGTCTGCATCTGAGTAAGAGTCCCCAAATATCTGTCTGCTCAGTGATGTGACAAGCACTGGCCTAGACAATGCAACCAATCTCATGATAGCCAAGTCCCACATAACTCACTTTATTAACACTTATAACATGTATGTCACATTCACCTGTCATCTTCCAGCTATCCACAGGCCCTGCTCCATTCTTCTGGTTTCCCACCACTCACTGCAGACTGATGTTGTATCCCTCGCAGTTGGCAGAGAAAGCCAACTGGTTCTGTGACAAAGGCTAAGCAGAAGTCAGAGCTGGGAATAAGCAGCAGACACAGGGACAAAGCGGAGATGAGTCTTCAGGAACAGAAGGCTCATACCAGAGAAGGCTCAGAGATACAGTTGGGAGAGCTGGGAGGAACTAATGGCAAGAGCCTTGTATGCCCAATGCAAGAGTTTGGCTTTATACTAAATGGGGAAATAGCAAGAAGTTTTTTTTTGTCATTTGCAGAGAAGAGCCATAATAAAAGAAATGCTCTACTGGCCGGAGCCGCGGCTCACTAAGCTAATCCTCCCCCTTGTGGCGCCGGCACACCGGGTTCTAGTCCTGGTCGGGGCACCAGATTCCGTCCCGGTTGCCCCTCTTCCAGGCCAGCTCTCTGCTGTGGCCAGGGAGTGCAGTGGAGGATGGCCCAAGTGCTTGAGCCCTGCCCCCCACGGGAGACCAGGAGAAGCGCCTGGCTCCTGGCTTCAGATCAGCGCAGTGCGCCATCCGCAGCGCACCGGCCATGGTGGCCATTGGAGGGCGAACCAATGGCAAAGGAAGACCTTTCTCTCTGTCTCTCTCTCTCACTGTCCACTCTGCCTGTCAAAAAAAAAAAAAAAAAAATGCTCTACCAAGGTACTGTACTCTGGTGTAGCCTGGATGTGGGCGATTTGAGCGAGGGACAAGGAGTCAGGAAGGCTTGAGAAATCAGGCACAGAGAGGTACAGATGAAGCCCTAGGCAGGGAATGGGGCCTGGAATGTGATATACAGGAGATCTCTGGAAGCAGGACTTTATTGGATGTAGCAACTCATGGACTATATAAGTGTATTCATTCAATCACTGATATTCAAAAAGCATGGCCATATCCCAGTATACAAGAATAAGCCACCAAAGGGGGAAGGTGCAGAGAGACCAAAAAGAGAAGACAAATCCAAGACCACAGAGTATAATCGAGTGGGGGAACCTAGGACAGGAGCATGGTCTTGTGTAGCTGGAAGATACATGGATCTCTGCACCAGAAGGCAGGAGGAAAAGGGTCCTGTAGAACAAGGTGACCTGTGGCTACTTGGTGTGCACCTGGACTTTTTCAGGAAATATTTACATTTATAAGAGCCATTCTAGGCATCAGATAAGAGGAGAAGGTTATCCTAATGGCTTTGTTTACCTCACAGAGCTTGGGATGACCTCTAGGGTCACATGTAGGGCAAAATGGTGGTAATGGCCAAGAGGGTGGTTATGTCCATGGTGGCTGTGGTCAGGGTAAGCCAAATCCCTACAGTAACACAGTGAATAAGACAAAGAACCTGCCTTCAAGGAACTTCCAGTCTACCAGGAGAGACAGATGACACACAAACAAATGAATACATACTGCAGCTATCAGTAAGAGGAAAATATAATGGATACTAGTGCAGAGCAGGGGTCAGCAAACCTCATCAGCTCATGGGTCAAGTCCTGCCTTTGTCGCCTAAAAACGAAGAATGATTTCCACATTTTCAAATAGCTGACCAAAAAAAGTCAAAAGGATACTCATGTTATGCAAAAAATTATATGAGATTCAAACTTCAGTGTTAAGTTTAGCCTAAAGCTGCTTCCATACCTTTTAAGTCTGGCTTAAAGGTTTCTGCAGACTATCACCTTCTATTGTAACAAGTAGCTGAGTCTCAGCCAATCACAAGCAAACAATTGTTCTAACCATGCCCAAATAAGACAGATGGCAGCTGTAACCAATCTGGCTCTGTATCTCGTTTCTGTTTTCTGTATGTCACCTCCTTTTCTTTGGCTATAAATATGATCCGCCCATATAGTGGAGTGGGAAATTATGAATCATTTTTGGTCTAGACTGCTACCCAATTCTAGAATCATAATTAAAACCAACCAAAGTTCTAAAACATTAGATTTATTGTAATTTTGCTTTTAATGGCTTCCATAGATAAATATTTATAAGAACATAGCCTCACTCATGTCTCTCTATCTTGTCTGTGGCTACTTCTATGCTACAACAGAAACGAGCAGTTGTGACAGAGATCATGTGGCCCATAAAGTTGAAAATATTTACTGTCTGGCGTTTCACATGACCAGCTTGCCAGGAAGGAGTTGGCCTGGATCACAAGGGCATCTCTGAGATGACATCTGGGCTAAGACCTGAATGAAAGGATGAGGCTGTAGGGAAACTCTTTCAGGCAAACGAGCAGTTAGGGCAAAGGCCCTGAGGCAGAAATGAGCTTACTGTGGCTGAGGACTGATGGAAGCATTGTGAACAGAGGCAGGAGCAGCGTGAGTAAAGATGGAATAAGGCTGTGTGATGGGACCTCTAACAAGAAACAGATGTTTGGTCTTTGGCCCATTCCTGGCACAGAACCAAACCCTTGGAATTTCCTAAGTGATACGAGCAATGAGGGTGAAAGAAATCCTTTGTTACCAGTAACAAGTCCCTTACAACCACACCTGAGCTGACGTTGAACTGACTTCTGGAAAGCCCTTAGGGAACTACAGGGGGCACTCCTGCCCAGGGAACCAGTGTGTGACTTGGGTGGAGGGGGAACTTCCCTTCTGGAGATCAACCCAATCACCAATGTCCTTTGATTTAATCAACCCTGATAGGCCGGCACGGAAGCTCCACGCCTGCTTTCATACACCTTGCCTCTACCTCTTTTAAATCTACCTATTCCTCAGCTGTATCCTTTTATAATAAACTGCTAATCCACCAGGTAAATTGCTTTCCTGAGTTCTGTGAGATACCCTAGCAAATGATCAAACAGGGGAGAGGTTGTGTGAATCTCAGATATGTATAGCCAGTAGGTCAGAAGCATGAGTGACAGCATGGACATGGGATTGCAAGTGGCATGGGAGTGGTATTGTGGGACTGAGCCCTTAACTGTGGGGTCTGACATAACTCCAGGAAGACGGCATCAGATCTGAGTTAAATTGTGGGACATGCAGTTGATGTCTGCAGAGAATTAGAGAATTGCTTGGTATGTTTGTTTAGGCTCAGCATGGGGCTTTGGCACACTGAGTACTTTGAACTAAAGGTGGTTAGAAGGCCTTAGAAGCAGCCTGAGAATGCAGGTCTCTCTCACCATCTCCTGCCCTTTTGTCTCTCACCCCTCTTTCTCCTGGGAAGTCTGTCATAGAAACCAGAAATCCTCGGGGCTGGCGCCGTGGCACAGTGGGTTAAAGCCGCGGCCTGCAGTGCCGGCATCCCAGATGGGCTCCAATTCGAGTCCCAGCTGCTCCACTTCCAGTCCAGCTCTCTGCTGTGGCCTGGGAAAGCAGTACAAGATGGCACAAGTCCTTGGGCCCCTGCACCCGCGTGGGAGACCCAGAAGAGGCTCCTGGCTCCTGGCTTCGGATCAGCTCAGCTCTGACCGTTGCAGTCATTTGGGGAATGAACCAGCGAATGAAAGACCTCTCTCTCTCTCTCTGACTCTACCTCTCTCTCTTTCAAATAAATAAAATAAATCTTGAAAACAAAACAAAACAAAATAAAAAAACAGAAATCCTCTTCCCCAAGGTGAGTCATAGAAATGGAAATTTCTCTCCTCCAAAGCAAGCCACAAAGCCCAGAAATATTCCTTTCACCTTC